TCTGCATTTATTTTACTCTGTCGGACCGTAAAACATGAACTCTCAAAGTTGATCTTTTCCCTTTCTTTCTTGTTTCCTGTGAATCAGACGACTAAATGACCTGTAAACAGAGATCAGCTCCACTGGAACCGAAGTCCTTTATTCAACACTCCTCCTGTCATTTGGCTGTTTCTCTCAGATTGGGTGCAGACTCCCTCAGCAGTGTGTGACAGAGGAGTGTTGGGTCATTCATCAGCAGAGAGATTAAATCTTCATCCACTGCTGCTGGATGGAGTGAATGCTTTGTCTAGTGAGAGGAAGTACAAGGATTATTTTTTTACTTACTCCAGAGCAAAAGGGGCCGTTTCAATCCGTCACTTCCAACATGTTGTTGTGCAGACAGATTACCACAGAAGGAGCAGCTGCTCTCATGAATGCAGATCAGACGGAGGTTCACAGAGAGTGGGTTAAAGTCAGAATAATGAGTTTGTCCTTCTGATTCATGGGAGGAAAGTGTTTGAGTATTTTAATCTGGAAAACAGACAAAAGAAGGAAGTGTCAGTTTGAAATTTCTACAAGCTCCATGATTGGCTCGTGCATTGTTATTCTGTATTGATGGAGCTCTGACGCCATCTACTGTTAAATATAGACAGGTACACAACCATTCCTAAAACTATGCAGCTCAGTAAATGCAAACTATCTTATAACGTTTTAAAGATACTTCTGAAATATGTAGGAATCTTTATAACCAAAAGGATTAAGTGCTAAGAGAACTTTCTTTCTTCTTTGTACCAGGAGTAAATTTGTTTAATTTTTTCCACAAAAAAATAACTTAAATGAACTTCAAAAAAATTCCCTTAAAAAAAAACGTAATTGCAAACAAAAAAAAGTAAAAAACAAACAAAAACAACAACAAAAAAAAATGTTCACATGGTAAAATTACATCAATGAGAAGTAGAGTAGAGCAGAATAAAAAAGATATACAATCAACGAGCCAATACAAGAAAAAAAAGTAAGAGATTCGGTCATTATCCCATAAACTCCCATGTTTCCACAAGCTGTTGATAAAATAAATACGTTTTTGTAACATTAATCATACTGAACGTGGTCAAATGAGTGTTTCTGTGCAGGATAAGAAGATAACAGAGGTTTTTACACCAGACTGTCAAAATGATGCATGAGAAGAAAAATCATAAATTTTCCTTATAATGAAAAAAACATTCATGAGTAACGTGACCCTAATGGCCTCATGGAGTTTCATGTTTATATAATATGTTATGTAAGAGCAGCATGGAATAGATTAGGTCTTATTTTGTATATTTTTACTCACATTATAAGAATCTCCTTTACATTGCACATAATTGTATAGACAAAATGTAGAAACTAATTATTTTCATTCTAATTTGACATGATGAAGCATTTTGTAAGTCTGTTTTAAAAGTGTTATTTAAATAAATGATATTGTTGTTGTTAATGAACGATGTCAGATATGTTTAATTGAATAAAAAGTGCAACATGTCACTCTGTTTTTTAGGTAAATATATAATAACAAGAGGTAAAATGGAAGTAAGGTACTTGATTAAATTCCATATAATAAACCAACACAGTTTTTTTAGGGTTATATTTGGGTTAACACACTCAGTTATGTTGTACAACTCAGCTGAGCTACACTAACTTCACACTGCATGCATCACTCTCACAACCAGCCGACAAACAGACCCTGTTCATTTAGCAGTCCACTGAAGCTGCAAGACCTCCGCCCTCTGCTGGTCTCTCAGCATCCACCTGCAGGATCTGACTGCAGGGTTTAGGATATCAGACCATTAAAAAGTGAACAGGACATAAATACGTGACACAGCTCTGGTACTTTGATCCTATAAAGGAATATAAATCTGATTTTGCTGCTTAAAAAAAAGTGAAATCAGATTTGAGTGTAGGACCTGTAGTCTCCACAGGATATCATGAAACATGTCAGATGGTGTAACTTTGAAAATCCAGTGAATAGATATAAAGACAAACACAAAGATAAGAGTATCGTGACTGAAAGGCCTGTTTGCATATTTGGTGTACAGTAGTGATGACAGGGATAATCAGGACTGGCTCGGTGGATGTTTTGTGGCAACAGTCAGCTGAAAGTTGGACTGTGACCGCAGATAAAAGTGATTATGTAACGCACTCACAGGCTGCTCTCCATCAAGCTTTTGTGCCGCCCTTCTTTTCAAACGAGACCAAAACAAGGACCCTTGACTAAAGCCAAACTCCAGCTGCTTCATGCTCCTCAGAAACTGTTTTTTAGCCCCGTAAATAAAGTCAAATAAAAGGGGCCCTCAGTTTGGCTTGACGGTTAAATCCCTTTCCAACAGGCTGTGGACAGCTCAGGATCAACTCCGACCTGCACGCTCTCGCCTAATCTCCGGCTCTATCCTCTCAATAAAAGCATAAAAACCCCAAAATAAACGTAAAGAGCGAGCCACTCTGATCCACGGATATATCTGCAGCTGAAGAAGTCAACAAAAGTGTGTCAGCACATGACTCAGGCGCTGCTGCAATAACAGAGTGAATTGATGAACAACATGTTGTGAAATCATGTACTCCCCATGTCTTCTGTTCCCGTCAAGAATCCTCCTGAAACCAGAAATAATCTCATGCAGCTCCGCAGTATTGTTTGACCTCCGGTGGAATTTATTGGGGAGTGTTTACCAATACTCTGCAAACAAGAGGCTGAGGAGGAAATACAGGGGATGGGAGTTTGTTGTTTTTCCTCCTCCAGAATTTTACTTCTTCCCTTTTTTTTTCTTTTTCTTTTAACTTTTTTTTTCACATAAATTTTCAAATTTGCCAAAAACAACACAGCGAATGAGCGAAACTCTTTTTCTACATGAATCAATAAAGAAAAAATAGACTTTTAAAAACAGAAAACCAAAGAAATTCTAATGTTGTAGAATAACAGACAAGGTAGTTAGCAGCTAGACTTCAGTTTAATGTGATTTATGATAGTGAAGCCAAACATGTCAAAGTCTGATCATAATATGTCGACCCAAAGGTCGGCTGACAATAGTTGCCATGGAAATGCTACCAGCCATCAAATCTATTTATTTAACAGCAGAAACAATCTTTAAATCTTTACAATCATCTTAAGACCAACCTTTTGTGTCAACTTGTTTGTGTTATTTGTAATTGGTCAGTGAGGGGTAAAATGTAGAATAAGCTGGTTGTGTAAAATAAGATCCTGAAAGGATTAAATAAGACCATGATCATCTTGTTTGAGGTTTCCGATTACAGATTACTTTTCCTCTTAGAAGGTAAAAATATTACGTCTAATCTTAACTTTCCAAAATGTGTGATAATGAGTGACTCGCTGACTTCTATATCAGCTCTTTTAGTGACTAAATCAATGAAGACAGTGTTGATAGATGCTGTAACAGAGTATTTAATTACTCTGTGCTCTTCTTGATCATGTGTCATATTCGTTAGGCTGTAAACTGTGTGTTTATTGTTAATCCACCAACATTCAGAAACCTCTTTGTTTTAAACTCACCTGGAAAATCAGCTCCAACCGCTCAGTGTAAAAATCTTCATTCAGAGATAAATCAGGTTTAATGTTGATTTCACTGTTATTAGACAGACTTTTTTTTTATTCAGTATGCAGCAGGTGTATACAGAACAACATTTCTTTTGCATAGTTTACAGATTTAAGTAAAGTACAGACATATGTGTGAAAAACACAAATACATACAGTATATATATATATATATATATATATATATATATATATTAGGGCTGGGAATCACTAGTGGCCCCACGATATGATACATGATACTTGGGAGACGAGTATTTTGATACAATATATTGCGATTTATACAATTTTTTCAACTGTTAAGCTAATTTAACATTTGTTTTTCCTTTATGTTTGTCTTATTTATGCTGTATTTTATTTTCATGTAGCACATCTTCATGTTAGCAATTAATTTTAAAAAATGTTGTGACAAAATATTGTGATAACATGCTGTATTCATTTTTTCTCCCGTCCCTAATATAAATATATTTATATAGATTTATTTATATTAATATAAATAAAAATAAATACATACATATATTTATTTATTTATATAAACAAATATACAAATATTTTGATACTTAAATAATATATTTATTTATTTTTACAAATATAGCTATAAATTATTTTATTTTATATATATTTAAATAAATAAATTATATATATATAATTTATTAATTTTTTTTATATAAATATGCAGCAGAGGCCCTGTGTAAGACCAGAATATAAATATAATTATGCTTAAATATAAACGTATTGAGATGTTCAATAAAAAGGCGCGTCTGTAGTCACTTCATTAAGTGATTTATTTGGACTACTGTCCTTGTCTTGGTTCACAAGAAGAATCTAATACATTGACAGAAACACGTCCGCCTTTGTTAGGGCGTGTCTACCTGTCCAACAAGTCAGTCATAACCATAATTATGTAAAGCTGACCTCAATACTTTAAATAACACGAGTCATAAAAGAAATTCATCCTCCATACTTTGTGTTGAGATTACAAAAATAAAAGTCATAAACATTTCTTATTTGGCAGTTTTTAAAGTGGACGTGTGTGAGATTTCCAGTATTCCTGGAGTCAGCACCTGGTGGACACTTTAGAAACTGCAGTTTTAAACATGTTTCCAGACCAGAAGTTAACACCAATATAACTCAAATAAAGTTATCATCCAAGAGTTACTTTCATTCATGCATTTGAACCCTGAAATTATTAAAGTAGATTTCTCTTTCTTATCTTAACAGCATCACATGAAAATCCAGAGTCCAACATTTGAGGATTTTGAGTGTTTTCAGGTGTAAATATTCATCATAACGCCCCCTATCGGTGACTGAATAAACCCTCATAAATCAACCATCACGGTCTCTTCCTAAATGTCTTTTTCTGCTGACTTTCACACTGCTGACAGTCCACCCTCGTGACTGAAACAGCCTATATAAATATTTCACGCCGCTGTGGAGCTCTTGCGTCATTGGAGTGTGCGTTTTTTCTTTGGAGGTGTGTGTGTGAGTGTCTGTGCGTGTGTGTGATGCGTTCAGGGTCCGTGTGAAGCCCTGCCTTCAGAGGAGACTCAGCCATCTGCCGGATTACAGCCGCAGCAGCAGCAGATCCTCCTCTGTCGTGTCTGCCGTCTGAAAACTCTCACATGGGGCCCAGGAGGAGGAAAAATCGCTTCCCGAAATGATCCTCGTCACTCGCCGTGTTGTCTTTTTTTATTTTTTTAATCTCACCTAATCACAGAAACACCAAATTCGCGTCTCAATACCCCCCACTCGGAGCTCTGCGTCCTCGCGTCCTCGCGGATGATGATCAGTAAAGTTAAAAACGCCATGTCCACTCTGGTGGGAGGGATGGTGCCGCACGGACACCACCACCACAACCATCACTCAGGTGGAGGTCAGACCTGCGGACCGGACAGCCTGCCGCCCCGCTTCCCCTACGGCCGCCCGGATTTCTTGGACCTCACCCCGGAGCTGCTGCAGTACTCCACGGAGCACGCGTCACGGCCGGTGCTCACCTTAAAGAGAGACAACAGGCTGCCGTGGAGGACGGGATACGCAGAGTAAGTGGAGAGCATTCACTGACCAAACATACAGACATCATCGGAGGTTTTTCTGACAGTCGTAGCAGGCCTGTTTCTGCAGCAGCAGCAGCACTGCAGCAGCAGCAGCAGAATGATGGCCAACACGGCCCTTTGCTTTTGTGCATTTTCACACACTGTTCCTCCCCTGAGCTGGTGCATGAGATCTGGAGCTGTGTGTGTGTCTATCTGTCTGCTGCTGTGACTACACATCAGGCTCCCTATCATGACTCTCACATTTGTGTATTCAAGGATCTTAAAGCTTGAAAGGTTTTTATTTTCATGTCTGCAATGAGCTTCGATTTTGCATAAAAACAAAAGTGAAAGCAGGAAATGACACCCTTGTCTCAAACCTCTGTGGTTTAATGCTGTTCTTGAAATGTGGAAAAACTCCAACTGCACCTCAGGTTCTTCTGTCACTCAAAGAGTCTGTTTCCCAGCCTGATGAGTCAAATGCATTTACAAAACATACTTAAAACAGCGATAACTGACCAAAAAGCTGCACAAGACATCAGAGAAACACTGAAACATGAGCAGAGTGAACGCAAACAGGGCGCATGTTTGTTTTTGAAGGTTTCTAAATGGATTTTCAGTCACCATTCATGTTTTTGACAAGACTAAGCAGTCACAAGAAGTGTCTGTTGACAAAAATCTCATCCTGGTGACTTTGACAGTCAGAGACAGAGCTGTTTCTCCAGCTGCTCCACTGACACCTCCTTTTTAGCTTTAAAAGTGACTATAAAGAGATGGTTACTCTGATCCCTGATGGTTTTGTTTGATTTGAAATGTCATGAAAAGACACAGATATGAATTTCAGACATCAGAGAAACACGTAAACATGACCAGAGCGAACGCAAACAGGGCGCATGTTTGTTTTTTAGGGTTTCTAAATGGATTTTCAGTCACCATTCATGTTTGTGGTGCAGATCTCTCGATGGCCTTGGTTTTACTGCAGGGTTGGTTTTTACTCCACTGTGATACACCTGCAGTCATCCCACAGGTAGAAACACAGCGGCACCATTTCATTCACTTCTGACCACATTTCTGCTGCTCTGGCGATTTCCCACTGAGGAAAAACACTCTCAGACATTCCACTCTCCCAGCATGCAGAGGGGGTTATGAGGGACTGAATGACTCCAGTCTGATACTGTATGTGGGCTATACCACCTCTGCATGTACCCGGCGTGGTAACAGGAGAAATAATGCTGACTCATGCAGAGAGCCCGCAGGGGGACGGGGATGAAATCTGTGACGACAGCCGTCTCAGAAGACTGAGTGAAAGGGGTCACTCGAGGACACGGTGATGAAGAAGGAAAACGGAGGGAGGGCAGTCGGAGTGTGGGAATGTGCCGCGTCGTCACTGCTGTCACATTACTTTGATGTATAAGTGGCTGAAAATGTAATCACAACATTAGCAGAGCTGTTTACTACACAACCTTATCGGCTGATCTGATCCTGCATCATCCTGTCTGTGCCGAGCGCAAACACCCAAACACTCCAAAGTCATCAGAGTTGAATTATCACACGCTGAATGACAGAAATAGCTCAAATCAATCCGGAGTAAATCTGCAGGAACAGCCGCTTTGAAAGTCTTGATGGTCCTCTGAAACTCTGAGAGTGAGGACAAACAAACATGGTGAGCGAACTGATGCCTCCACATAACCTCCGAAAGCAAACAGAGACTGTCAGCCTGGACGTTTTCTATGAAGGCAGTTTGAGTTCTGTGAACAAGCGAGGAGACACTTCAACAGCTTTTACATTTGGTCCTGATAATCATTCCTATAAAGTAGGGCTGCACCGATCACAATTTTCTGGCCGATCACCGATCTTTACAAAGTTCGACCAGCCTATACTAATCCTGGTCGATACTGATTTTCTTTTTATAACTGACAACATCCACCTTCGATGCTTCAATCTTAATTTTACCTGCACGTGAGGTAGTTCTCTCAAATATAAATGAAAAGTTTAGAATATGACTTTCCAAACTACTAAATTATATCAGTTCCTTTAGTCTTTTATTTTCCACATTTTAAATTTAACAATACTTGCTCACATACAGGTCTCACTGCAGGCCTGTTCTGAGCCTGTTACCAAAATAAAACACACATCAGTAATTTGCTTTAACAAATGAAGGAAATCAGAAGGTTTGAGGAAGTTAGTAAAATAATGATCTACAGGACAAACTAACAATAAAACTTAAAACTTAAACCACCAATAAACTGTCCTGAGTTTTAGGTTTCCTTGTAGCGGGTTCATCACACTCCGGATGACCTGGTGGGCGGGCCTGTCATTCTGGCAAAGCAAAAAGCTCCAATGGCTGACTTTCAGACCTTTGCTGAGGCGGATAAGATCGGTTTTACATGTGAGGATCAACCGATCACCGATCCCCCCAAAATTGAGGAAATCGGTGCCGATCGATCGGCTGGCCGATCTATAGTATAGTAGCTTTAACCTTGTTTTTCAGCTGTCTTTGTTTATGTTTTGCATTTAACCTAATTCATAGTAAAGTCGTGGTAAACCCAGTGCAGTTATCTAAAATCCACTCTGAGACATCGTTATTCAACACCAGCTCTATTTTCACTCCTGAAGTTTCTGGTCGACTGTAAAAAATGGCGACGCACAGAAAAGAAAATCCTGAATCACTAACTTCTGTCTGCTCCAGAAGTACTGAAGAGTTCGCTGCTCCTCTCCTCAGATTTAATCCTCATTACTGATGGGCTCTGAGAGTGGTGGACAGTCATCTGTGTAAACAAAGCCCATGTTAGGAGAGCACTTATGATCGGACAGACCTGATGAATGGAAATCTGACCTCCCAAAAAGCTACATTTCCAGTGTCGTGTGGTTTCCAGGCTAATATCTTCTCTAATCCTGCTCTCAGGGAGGTAAACAATCAGCCCAGAAAACAAACTTCCTTGGAGAGAAGATTAAGGAGTCTGTCAACTCTCTGAAAGGTTTTATTACATCCACATTGTTGCTGTAATCAAACCATGAAGGTTGTTCGGTGGAGCGGCTCCGTTTGGAAATGATTGAAGAAGTTGTTTATTCACTCGCTCACAAAACTCATGTGTCTCCAATCAGAGCGTCCAGAGCGATCAAAAGGTGTTAGACAAACTGTGATTTGTGTGGACTGATAGTTTGACTCTGCAGTTTCATTTTAAATCAGTTTGGCTGAGTTTATAATCCTCATTTTTATACACTGGAGCATCTATCAGCCGTCCATCCCTCTGCTCTGGTTGTGTTTACTCCTCTTGTGCAATAATGAGCAGAAACAATGATGGCCGAACAGTGTGAAACCGCTCCTTTCCAGTCGGAGGCCTCCCTGCTGGCACCCAGACAAAAACTCCTTTCTGAAATGACTTCATTAGTGTTTGTCCGCCATCACGGCTTTAATGAGGACGGTCAGTGTTGACGGGTCGGTCTAGTATCATGCTGATCAGCCTTTTTTCGCCATGTTTTCACCAAAACCCGATGTACCTTTTCTCGTATATTAGAGAGACTGAAGCTGTGGTCTTCGTCTCAAAAGTGAGACAACAAGGGTTTCCTCTCGAAGGACTATCGTGGATCCAAAAGATGGAGGATGCTCCAGATAATGAGTTTAATTCAGAGCGATGCTGCTGAACAACACTGTGTCAGCATAAACATGTGTTAGCGCTCACAGGAAGCCTCTCAGAGTGCTCTTATCAAATAATTATTTAATACGGTTTTAATATGGAGATACAGCTTTCAGGCTCTGCACTAATATCATGAGAGTGAAACAGGAAACCGACAATTATTCTGATCTTTATTAGACACAGAAACAACAATCGGAGCAAGAAACTCAAGTGAACCTGTTTTATAAATGACAACATCTACAGTGTAGGGCTGCACGATTTTGGCCAAAAATGAAATCCAGATTTTTTTCCTCTTAAAACTCCATTTTTGATTTTGATTTTTTTTTTTTAGTTTTTCTATCATCTCTCAAAACGAAACCACTGAAAACGATGTAGTTCATATGCCAAGCCAGTAAGTGGCGCTGTAACGCTCTACAGTAAATGCAAAAAAAGTCAGAAGAAGATTACAGAGCATGTGTATAAAGGTTGTTTTGGTCGGACACGCACAGGTGCCATAAAACGATTACGCTGTGATTCACATGATCGTTTCCAGAGATGCAGATAGACTTCCACACGGAGATGAAATGGTCGTCGTTTACAGATTTATTCACTCTCTGACACGTTTTTAAAAAGTACCGTTTACAGTCACCTGAAACGCTGTTACGACAAAAAACTTTAGCGTTTCCTCCTGAATTAGTTTCCGTGGTGACGGGTTGATACCGCCTTCAGACAGACTTTACAGCAGGGAGTGGTTTGCGCTTCATCTGAAACTGTGAAGTCGTACCAATTCAACACGACTGACTCGCTCTTGTCCTATTTAACCACGAAATTATCACCTTCTTTTGCGAGCGCCATGTTTGTTTACACTGCTGTGTGTGGCCTGGGTAGATGTGATAAAGAGGAAAATCGATTCGAAGATTTAATTTTTTTTAACATCGTCATAATCAAATAATCCAATTATGATTTAAAATGGATTGATCGTGCAGCCCTAGAGAGAACTATTCAAAGCTCTCTGAGATCCTTAATGAGAACACTCAGGGAGTGATGAGCTTTATTAAAGACACAGAAACGCTTTTGTACTTTCAAAGTGCCCATAATCAATAATGTGTGGTAACAACAGATCAAATGACAATGTGGAAAATTGTGTAATATGAGCAGTGTAGCCAGTATTGATCCAGGGAATTACCTAAACACAATCTGAGGCTCTCATTTCCTTTAAAGCTTCATATCGAGTGAAGCCCATTATTGAGAGCGGTGGATTTTCACTGTTTTCAGAAACTGCAGTCGGTCGTGTTCAGCTGAAAAGCTCAAAATAGCAGACTCACTGAGGTGCACACACACACTGGAGTGTTAGGGCCGGCTTACAGGAGAAAATAATCTGATTTAAGTTATAAAATTATGAGAATGAAGATGAAATTTGTAACCCTATGTGGAAGAAAAAACACATTTATCAGCAGGTTATATAAGCCGGTGTTTTATTTTGAAAGGGAAGATCAGAAGATCAGCTGCCTGCACTGAAATGAGCACCCTGGAGCTTTGAGAAGGCAGACTAAAGTTAGGTTTCATAGATGCTTCAAGAGTCTGTGTTGGAGGATGCTGAACTCTTTGTGCAAGAAACTGAAGTCTGTTATGAGGAAGGACAGGCTGAAATGTAACCTGATGCACTTCTGCAACTGCTGTTAGTCTTCAGCCGCAGAGTCTAATTTCACAAGACGATCAAAGTTCCTCATTCCTTCTTATGAGGAAACTGGCAGATTTAATCTCACCCCTTATGGTATTTAAGTTGTACAAGTACAGTAAGTACTTCTCTTTATAAAGTCATAAACAGTCTGGTGTCATTTTCATGTACTTTGGTCCAAACGTTTGCAGCAGTGACCCAGAGGAACTCGCCATATATCCTCTCTGAAATGACGGTGACTTTCATTCATTTAGACGAGCCCTGCAGTGTCGTTTCCAGCCGTTCATAGTCTTTATGTGTCTGATAAGCTGCTTTCTGCACCAGCGTCTCTTTGGAAAACATCCTCGAGTGATAAAGCAGGACGTCCTTGTGGTCGTTGCCCTTGCGGTGACTTCCACGGCGGCAGTTTAATGGCCAGTAGCTCGTGGTATTTCTGACAATGACCTGCAGTATGTTTTAATTACAACAGCTGCAGTGTGTTAGTCAGCCTTCTGCAGTAGCTGATATATCGGTGATTCTTGCACTGTAACTCCTGCAAACATATGGGGAAACTTCCTCTTTCTTCAAAGCTCACTTACACAATACAGAAGTACATAATAGAGAAAGAGCTGACAGCAAACCTGCAGGGTTTGTGTGGTTGCTTATCTTAAAGGGATATTCTGGCGTAAACTTAATTAGGGTCAAACACGCCACACCAAGTTAGACACCCTGTCGAGAGATAAATGTTGCCGACCGCTCACTTCTCTAGTGAGACCAACTTTAGTAACGACCGCAGGATAGTAATACACAGCGGTCTATGTCTCCATAAACAAACCTCAACCAAAACGCCACTCTATAGCCACAAATAATGCTCAGAACAGCACCTAACTTCATCAACAGGACATATAGGGTCACAGACATAGTACTAGACACCAAACATCTTTTTAACTTTGACTCATTTCTTTAGCAAAGAGAATAAACACAACTCACCTACTCTCTTCCAGCAGACGCTTGTTTGTGGGGGGAGCCCTGACGAGTCGATCACCGAGCTAAAAAGATATTTGATGGCTAGTATTAACCCCCAATTTCAACCACATCCGGAACGAGCGGGACGAACAAGTGAAAGGTTTTTAGACGTCATTTCACCCCGATGACACCAGGGATGAGGAGATGATGATTCTAGAAGTCTAGAAGTAGATTTCCTCCTCTGGAAGGACACAATCTACTGCTTAGATGGTTAACCTATGTGTCTGGAGACAACTTGTTATTGCACGATTGCAAGTGAATCTGCGGGTTCTTGTGAGTTCTCACGATCCCTGACCTTCGTAATCCGAAATTCACCTCACAAATGGATCCGGTAGGAATTGGCAGATGGTGAAAATCGGGACCCTATATGTCCTGTTGATGAAGTTAGGTGCTGTTCTGAGCATTATTTGTGGCGTTTTGGTTGAGGTTTGTTTATGGCTCCTCAGACTGCTGTGTATTGCTATCCTGCGGTCGTTACTAAAGTTGGTATAACTAGAGAAGCAAGCGGTCGGAAACATTCATCTTTGGAGGAGGTGTCTAAATCAGTGTGTTTGACCTTAACTTAAATTTACGCCAGAATATCCCTTTAAAATCACTGAATTTGCAAAATTCCTCTAACAGCATCCTCACATTTATTTCCAAATTTTCATGCATTTAAATCCAAGTGATAAGTTTTACACCCAAACATCTACTCTGACTAAAAGCAAAATGAATAAAAAGAGAAACTGAAACGCACACAGAGAGAAAATGATCAACAGCTAAAATCTAAAAGGATTATTTCCGAGGTGTTAAAACTCGCAGGATTGACTCCACCACAGATCTACTCTGACTCATCCACTAAGACAGCCTGTCCTGAGGTACAAAGCTAACATGACCCGACATGAGATGGATTGCAACATTTAGAACCGCACTTCAACACAGGCTTTAAGAGACGACATCTAACATGACCTGCATTTTCATCTGAAGTCGAGCAGACGAGTTAACTGGAAGTCCCGGCTTCCTCTTTTGGACCTCTCATTGGGTAACGCACTTTTACAGTAGTAGACTTTAAAAAAAAGAACCAAACATGAACGCTGTGGTTTTCAGTCACAAGTTATTCAAACATATGACCGAAAGGCAGGTATGTGAAAGAGTTAAACCACGTTGAGGAAAGAGTTGAGCTCCTGTTTTAGAATCACATCCTCCCACGCTTCAGACATTATGTCCAATTACAGCTCATCGAGCGCATGTGACCGCTGCTTCAAAACAGAGAAGAATTAAAGATTCTGTCAGAGGGAGGGGGAAACCTGAGTCCACAGCAAAACTGAAGACATTCACGTAAACCAACTCCAAATCCAAAAAAGGCGATTAAAACAGAATTAGGTGTTTTTTTAACCACAGACAGCATAACAAATGTCATAACTTAACCTTTTTTCACATTTTATGAAAGAGATACGCCCATTTTGAATTTGATGACAGTAACTTGATATAAAAAGGAGGAACAGGGAAAAAAGACTGAAAAAGTCGAGTTATTCTGAAAACAGCTGATGTCACGATGACTGAACGTGACTGTGGGAAAGCTAGAAAGAGCGTCCGAAAAGATGAGGTGTGCTGTGTGAGCAAACAGTTCAACAACCTCTGAAGAATGTTACTCGGCAAAAGAATTTGGAGATTTTATCGTTGACTGTTCAAAAAATATAAAAAGATTGAGAGAATCAAGAAATTTTTAGACAAACAGGTAGGGCTGCACGGTTTTGGCCAAAAATAAGATCCCAATTTTTTTTTTGAAAATTTAATTTTAGATTTTTTATTCAGTAACAATTTCACCAAACTTCACCGTAAAAATGAAAAGTTTTTCTATAATTTCTCAAAATGAAAACGAACAATGACCACTGAAAAATTTCAACTTTATTTTTTGTAAATCATAGACAGTTTATTCTCAGGATCTGACAGTTTCTATGAACGCTGAACAAGATCTATATCCAGGAGCAACATATGCTGCCACCCAGTCAGGGCTCTTTCATACTTCAGCAGACCACATCTGCTTGTTTTACAACAACATGGCTCAGTAGTAGAAGTAGTAGTGCTAAACCAGCCCTCCTGCATCTGTTCACTCTCACTACTTCCTGTCAGCTGACATGAATGAATCCTAAAGTTCAGCGGAGGACGCTGTGATGGACGGTTGGCTGCTCTCAGCTGATTAGAAAGTAAAAAGGGCTTTCTATAATCCAGATTTTGGTGCTTTATATTTGTGATATCAGAGTTTAAGGCTGGCTGGTGATGACCATTTCCCGCCATGATTGCAACCAGCTGAGCTATCTGAAGGGAAAGAGGTCAAAGGTCATGTATGAAAAGATTTTAACTCTGGATTTCTCTCCTGCCCTGAGTTTGACTTCACACTTTGACTGCTGTTATCGTTTTGATTTTCGGTCCCTGATAACCTCCGATGAAATCTCTCCCATCCCGCTGAAGTTTTCGAGGGAATCTTAATGGCCGTGTTTGAATTACAGAAATTGCGCAACAGTCGTTATGCTGTATTATTCAGCTAATGTGGCACTTATCTCTAATTGAAACTGAAAATGTTATGTAACGTGCCAGCATGAGCTCCAATCTGCAGCCTCGCCATTCAGCCTCGTGCGGCAGCTTAGAGGGTCGAAACCAGCTGACGTCTCCATGTTGGCGTCCATTGAAAACATTTTATAAAACCTGCTGTTTCGTGTCTAATTTGTGCATCTGTTCCTAACAGCCATCAGCCACTTCAGCAGGATGAAAATCAACAAGTGTATTCTTAAAACATGAGATCCATCATAGAGCAGCGAGTCTGAATGATTCTCTCTATTCGCTCTTGTCATGCAGTTTAAACCACAACTTACATTAAGAATGAATGAAATCACTTAAAGTGACGGAGAATGAGACCCTGAAGTTAGAAACCCACAGAGAATGAAGACCCCTCAGAGGTTACCTCAGGTCAGCCGGGCTCTTATGTTTCTTAAATGACCATTTTTGGGTAATTTTGCCGTCATGAGACTAAAACAGCTGAAGAGAAACAAAAGGACAGCAGCAAACGGAGGACTTCAGCCTCTGTTTATGAAGCGCGCTCAAACCACCAGGCCGGCCGGGACCCCAACCAGACTTTTTATATCTGATTTAAAGGGGCAGTGGGGAGTTTTTACATGAGACCTCTGTGGTGGTGAATTTTTCCACATAAAAGAATGTATTAGATTAGAGAACAGACCTTCTTTCTGAATCTATTTTTCAACAACATCAAAACTTTACAAACTCAGATTTATGAACATTAGTTAGCAGGTACTGAGCTCTAGGGATTAACGATAAATTCACGTTCACGATGTATCGTCAGAAAAATCCTCCATGATGAATATTTGCCATCTCATGATAAATACGATAAATGCAAGTTGATGACGTGAGCGCGGGAGACGGACTCGCAGCCATAACCTGCACAGATCAGAATAACAAACAAACATGGCTGAAGGTGATGAAGACGTTTCTGAGCAGCTGGTTTCTGAACGAGGATCACATGAGGGATTTCCTTTAAGATCGGGGTTTAGACGAGCAAAACCAGGTCTGACAGTGGATCTGCTGATGTTCACTCTGTGTAATAAGAGTTTTTAACAAAAGTTAAAAATGTTTTTACATTTGAGACTTGTTTGATGTCATTAGTTTTCTCCGTAACCTACCATTCAAACTTGTGGTTAAGTATCTTATTTGACGACTCTAACTGGTGTTCTCAAGGCAGAATGGGTCAAAAATAGAGATAAGAATTATAATATTTTTTATTGGGACTTTTATCGCCAGAACAGCAAATCGTATCCTGATAAATTTTTTAGCCCTTATCGCCCGTCCCTACTGAGCACATTTTCCTGCAGCTTCACCATCTTTGGTTGTAAATGCTGCTGCAGCGCAGACTGACAAAGATGCTGCTGCTGCTGCTGCTTGAGTATAAAACAGTGCATTACTCTGAAGCCATTATCCTCCACAGACATCAGCAGCTCATAATAAAAACACTTAATCCCTCCTGCAAGTCCCCTCTGGGACATGACTGCATCCTGCCCCTCTCTCTTTTTTTATACTGGTCCACTCTATCCATCTTTTCCGACTGCTATAATGTTTTCATGTGGTTAGAGGAGAGAGAGAGAGCGAGCAGAGCACTTTAAATCATCAGACTCCGATCTCACCTTTCTCCCTCGCCTCTTTCTTTCTCCATCAGGGTGATCAATGCGGGGAAGAGCATGCTGAACGAGGACCAGGCCTCCTGTGAGAAGCTGTTTGTGAAGAAGCCCAGCGGCAAGCACAAAAATTCCACTCTGCAGGAGGACAGCGGGGTGAGAGAGGGGGGCCAGACATCATAACAGGAGGCTCTGAACCAGGGTTGACATATCAGGCCAAAGGCTCGAGGCTCTCATTAACAAAAACACAAAAAACACCATGAAGTCTGAGCAGAAATTTAACTGTATCTGTGCCCGCATGGAGGTAATCTGAGAGCGGCCCATGTGTCCTCAGATCACATTTGGGTTTTAATGGTTTCACCTTGTTAGCTTTGATTCCTCTCCAGTCCTTGAGAGACCTCTGTGTTTTACAGACTATCATCATTTATCATCTAAATGTGCACAAAGTTTGTCAGGAGCTCAGCTCTTTGAAATTTCCCAGAGTTACTGTTTTTGGAGTTACATGTTTGATTTCTTAACTGTTCTCGTCTCAAAAGTTATTTTCCCTTTTCTAAAAGTTTTTAATCATCCTGAAATCTTCTGAATTTTTCCTGCCCTCCCGCACACCAGCTCATCCAAACTTTATACAAAAATTCTACCTGGTACAAGTTCATTGGAGGTGATTTTTTTTTTGACTGTTGCCACTCACCCTGAACACAGCAAGAGTCTCATCATGAAAGACCAAAACATTAGGAACAAATCCCAGCTTCAAAAAAGTGTCAAAGTTTTTTGTCAGGTTTGTATTTAAATTAGATTTTCCGGGGTATGACAAGAGAGAGTATGTAGTTCACAAATTATCCAAGTGTCCTCTTTATGTCGATATAACCATGACTGCAGACCCTTTAACCGCTCATAAAGATGGGCAATGCACCTCCACCTCCTCCTCATGTACAAACTGCACCTCCAACAGGTGCTAGCTTCTTGCGCAGAGTAACTTATTTAACCAAATATCACCCAAATATAACTTTGCATAATAAGAATTACCAATAATGACAAAAAACACATTTTATTTCATGTGTGTTTAAGTTTTAAAGTTTGATCCATGTCCCATCTGATTACATGGAGGAGGCAGATGTATGACCTGTACTAAACTGAGTCTGTAGAGGGAGCACTAAATGTTTTGGCTTCACTTTTAGGGGTGCTACTGTGTCATACATCCTTTTATGGACACGATAAAAACGACCTGAAGGTTTTATTTTTTATTTGTTTATTTCGAGCCCAATGAGCTTCCACAAAGTGGTTGCTAAACTTCCTGGGGTCCAAAAACTTCACAGTCACAATACAATTACATTTCAACAATGAATTAATTAATAATAAATACAATTACAGATTCAATTTATGATTCTTCACAACATTAAAACATTAAAACCACTCCAAAATCTTTGCTTTTATAGTTCATTCATACATAGAGTTTTGTTTTAAAGTCCCTTTAAAATGATACCTACTGTTATTTACTGTGTGCTTCTAGGAACATTGATTCCACATCTCCAAAGATCTAAATAACACTGTGTTCCTCATACCATTGGACTTGGAGAATGGAACAATTAAATGACCAGAGCTAACCTGCCGAGTGACCACAGAGAAAGTTGGCCACCCTTTGAATATGGCAGTATGTATATGGCAAAGAATATTTATATTTATCTTGATCTGCACCTTTAACCACCCTAAGGCGGTGTGCTTCTCATTCAAATTCAAGGTGAAACATTCAGCATCATAAAGCAACTCCAGGCTGATGGAGAGCGAACAGAAGAGTCAATAATGTGGACGATGAAGCGGACTCACAGTCCAAGATCTGACTAAGCACTGAGTTATTCAGCTCTTTAAAGTCAAGATTGTGCGTTTATTGTGTCACAGTGATTCATTTCTTAACATAATGAAATATGCGTACGGACAAACCCACAAATACACACACGTGCACAACAGGTTCGACTTGTTGCTGCGTTTCACAAGAACTATGTGAGAGTCCGCAGAGCACAAGCCTGAGATGTTTTTCTAGTCCTGAGAACACGTTTATCTCTTATTTGTTTTGCACCCACACATACTCACACAAACACACAAACACTCACACACATTCTCCATTTGGTGTAAATGAATGACATCATCCGTGTTGCTCCCCTCCCCCTCACGTGTTTGGCATCAGGGCGGTGAGTCTGTTCATCTGTTAGATGGTCTATTAGGCCGGCTCTGCTCGTAAACATGCCTGCAAACACAGAGATGGTAACGCCTCAACAACACTTTTTTTTAAGGTCGAGTAAGGACAGAAATCATTAAAACTTTATATTAACAGATTAATTATGACATGTAGCCCCTTAGAGGTGAAGCTCAGGATCATTTTTATCTTATTCCAACTTTTCTGGGGTTTATATTGCGGATTAAAAACGTACAAACGTGGGTTTAGTGAGTCCATAAATGGAGGAATCATATCACTGGGCTTTAACCCTTTAATACCTTTTGAATCATATTTGATACGTACTTTTATGATACTTCTATTAAATCAATATGATCAGCAAACTACTAAAAAAACACCTGAATACAGTCCGATAAATGCTAAAAATGTCCTCTTGTAGTTTATCAGTTTCCAAAAACATCTAATGTATCAAACGAGAGAAATAAATATATTTGTTAAATTTTAAGGACATTTTGATTTATTTGGTTTTCAGTCGTAAGTGAAATAAATATTTCAGCTCCAAAAAAATTGAATTTTCTGGCCATAATTTGTGGTTTCAGGCATTAAAGGGCTACAAATGTTAGCCAAAATTGAGTCTTCTGCTTTAAATTTGCTGGAAATTGATAAACCAGAACCACAAAAATAAGCTTTTTTAATTCTCTACTTCATCTTTGACTTGTTTTACTGATGTTTGTTTCTTCTTTTGACGATTTTAGGACGGGACGGGGATCCCTCTCCACTTCTGGGGCGTGTTCGACGGACACGCAGGCTCAGGAGCCGCCATCATGGCCTCCAAGCTTCTCCACCGCCTCATCAGAGACCGTCTGGGGGAAATCTGCCACCTGCTGGAGAACCCCAACAGCGCACCTCCCATCTGCCTGGCGAAAAACGGCAGCCCGTACCAGGTGGATACGAAGAAAGGGGCCTCGCAGGAACCCGAGGACCCGGATGCCATCAGCGACTCCACGGTCCGCTTTCACATGGAGAAGGTGGTGAGCCTGGAGAGCCTGGTGATGGGAGTCATAGAGACCGCCTTCTCACAGATGGTGAGCAGATGATGACCAACGATCTGTGAGAAAACAACAGAGCAGGGTTTTGCATATTTCATGCTGCACGAGGCTTTTTGAACAGAATGATCTCCAAACAACAACGATGATGATGAATATTTTAACCTTTAAAGAAAACCTTTAAGAGATTTATTTGGCTTAATATAAGGATAAATGTGATGATAAGTGAGCAGGAAAAGGAACATAAACACACTAAAACAGAGCTCTTAACATGCTATGGATTTAGAATTTGAATAAACATTTGTCTCCTAATTTTAATGTTCATTTACGTGAAATTATCCTCCTTTAAAATTGGATTTTTGTACACAGTTTAATGATTTAATGTTGCCTGATATGGAGGATATTTTTGTTATAGTGTGCTCGATTTATTCAGTGAGCATCAAACGAGGCTCATAAAAGAGACATCAGTCAAATTGAAGAAAACAGACTGAAGCAAAAATCACTTGGGCTGTGATCTGCACTCTTGAGTTTGTTGAATGGGAAGAAATACAGGAAAAAAGGGAAAACAGGGAAGGAAGACCTTATACATATACAGTATATACTAGTGTTAAAGACCCACTCTGATGAAAATCATGTTTTTCTTGTTGTCTACGTGTTCATTTTTCTGATGCTACAGGACATATCAAGAGAAAAATAAGTGTGAAACTGCATTTTTTAGCATGTCTACATTCAAATCGCTGCAAATCTCAGGCAGACCCAAACAGCAGGTTCAGACAGAGAGAGATTTCCTACATCACAAATCCAAGCTCCGCCCCCGGTGTGCAGGCCACACTCGGGGAAACAGAGAGGACGATCTCGGAACAAGGAGTAAAAATAAAAAAAAGATCGGAGTGGGACTTTAAAGTTTTGGTTAGAACATGGTTTTGACAAAAGCACCAACATCTGGTCAAAGTTAAATTAAAAATAAAGTTTTAATACCACTTTAACAGACCGCCATTAGATCAAATTTTCATTTCCAGTTTTATGAATTTTTAATTTCCAATCGTTTTTTCTTCAGCTGCAGGAGGATCATCTCTGACATTTGGCTCTTTGCTGCATGTCGTCCCCTCTCTCCTCTCTCCTCTCCAATTTTCCTCGTTTACTTTAAAAAAGGAGAAAAAAGTTATTATTTTGTCCAATCATGTCATGGAAATTTCTATTTAAGATTCTTTAAAACACATATGATAAGATTAAACATGATAACCTAAAGTACATGTCATTAATCAATATATAATATAACTTCTATCAGGTGTGCCTAACAGGGTTTTCCTTAAAGCTGCAGATCTTTTCGTGTCAGACAAATCTCAATGACCTCTTGTTTTGTTTAAATATCTAACCAAACTGAATCTGTTGAGCCTCCTGCATCAATTCATCTCCAAGTGATGCTCCTCTCTGATGCAACCTCTCTGTACCAACAACCCGCAGTCTGCTTCATGTCTTCTTCAAAGCCTCCTCAATTAGCCCGACTGTTTTTGTCATGAGTATAAATATGTATGAAGAAAATAATGAGCTCTTCTGTGCGATGAGAGAGGCAAAGTGCGCTCTTAGAGCTCGGAGCTTCTGCAGCCTTTTGTTGTTTTTCTCACTTCTGTTTTTTTTTTATTCGCTCTGTGTTTCAGGATGACCTCATTGAGAAGGAGAAATCATCGTACGCCATCTCCGGTGGCTGTTGTGCCTTAGCTGCTATTTGTTTAATGGGGAAACTCTACGTGGCTAACGCTGGAGATAGCAGGTAAGAGAAGTCAAAGACAAAGATAGACGACAGGCTTGTAATTTATCTCTCCAGTGGGCTGTGTTTGGACTTTTCTACTCCAGGGAAATTCACTCAGACGTATGAGCCTCTAGTGCCCCCTGGGGTTGAGTTTGTGAAGTGCAGCAGCATGAAACTTTCTATTAACACTCTTGTTCAGCCTCCCACTAGGAGCTGTTTTTGAAGAATATTAGAGGAAAATGTTCTTGTGTGCTAATGAGTCATATCTCTGTTCTTTCTCTCCCCCTGCAGGGCCATAATCATAAGAAATAATGAAATTATTCCCATGACGAATGAATTCACACCAGAGTCAGAGAGGCAGCGGCTACAGTACCTGGTACTCTCCTGTTTTCTCTGCTACATTAACCACACAGGAAAAAAGGGAGTTGAGGATCTCTTTAGTGCACAGCCAACTGTAAAGGAATAGAAATAACACTAAAGTGCTGTAGAGAGGGTTGACTAATGTTAAAGAAGGATATTGGATAATGAGTGGGCGACCTGAGGAAGCTCGTAGAAACAAACCGGCGCTGCTTCTTTTAGCAGCAGGTTGTAGATGTGAGTCACACAGTGGGTGGATGATGTGTGCTGCTAAAACGAGGAGCTGTCAGTGTGCAGCATGTGTTCTCTGCTGCAGGATGTACATGTGATCTTATAGCATATTGTTGCTGTCCGATGAAAAACACGTATCTCCACTTTTTTTTTTTCAATTCATGCACGGTCCATAATCTTCCCAAACAACCCGTAGCTCTAAGTTTCCAAATGAACGATGGAAAGACATTTTATAACATCATCTTTTCAACAAGTATCTCCACTGGGTGTCTTGAGTGTCAACAAAGCTCGTATCTCCCCCCCGGTCCTGAGTTGTTATGACTTTACACTGTAACAGACTCATTACAGTCCAGGGTAATGCTACACTAATGTCCTCACATCGACTGATGCCGACTTACAACTTTGTTCTAACCATGACAGTGTTGCTGACCTGTACCTTAGATTTCTTGTGCCAAAGTTCATCCCCAGAGGTAAAGCTTTTAATTTTGGGTCCTAATTGTGTCTAATTACAGTGTTTTGGGTTTATTCTTTAAGTTAGTTTACGAATAAAATTGTTTTTTTATGTTCTGAAAAAAAAAAAAAAACAATTTGGAGATACGTGTTTTTATTGGACACCCATGATATATTAACTTCTGAGTCAGACTGAAGTAAAAGGTTTTGGTTTTGCAGCTTGTCCCACTTATTCTGTGCGTCTCTCTCCAGGGCTTCCTGAGGCCGGAGCTCCTGGGAAACGAGTTCACTCACATTGAGTTCCCTCGTAGGATCCAGCACAGCGAGCTGGGCAAGAAGATGCTGTACAGAGACCACACCATGACTGGCTGGTAGAGGAGCAGCTCTTTTTAATCACTTTTCTGACAGTTCTTCACACTTCGGTCTTTATTTAGTAGCCTGTACTGTCTGGAAATAAAGTTTTCCCAAACACCAGCCGCTCTTTTAGAGAAGCTGAGGCAGGATTTTTAACCCTCATTACAAACAACTGTAACACACCCACCTATCAGTTCACCCTGATTAACAGAATGTGTAACTTTGAGCCTTAACTCTAACCTGTACAGATAATACAGATACATTTAGACTTCAGTTATGTATAAAAGTGTTAATTTGACCTGTTTGCAGGTAGATAGAGTGCCATCGCCATGGAAGCAACCATTGAAACTAAGGTTTTTTTTTGCATCAGCTGTATGAGTAAATCAATGAAATCATCTTGAGAACAATACTTGGTGTTAGTTTGTTTAAATCATGAGTCGACAGCTGAGTAATGAACAAGATAATGTAGAGTTAGCCAGTGCTTATGCAAAGTAGATGTCCTTTAGGGTGAGACGAAACTCCATGTAAGAGTAGAAAAACATTTCAAAAAGTAGAATTGTCAAATTTTTAACATTTCATAATGAAAATTGATGATAAATAATCAGCTGTGATTTATTAAAGTGTGTGTGTCTTGTTTTGTCGTAGGGCTTATAAAACAATCGTGGAGGATGACTTGAAGTTCCCCCTCATTTATGGAGAGGGTAAGAAGGTGAGAAACGAGACAAACACACTGGAGCATGCACAAACACACGATTTCGTACCACTGGTCTCATTAGTTATATGTTTAGTTAGTCTTTTTATGAAGAATAAAACAAAAACACAAAGATTATAAATGAAGTTCTGTTGAAATGAGTCCTGCTGAATATTTCCATTTCTCTCTGAGATCAAATTATCCTCGTTTAAGTGGATTAATCCACTATAACTGACATTAGTTTGTGCTTTTGTGTGTGTTTGTTCTCACTGTGTTTGTGTGTGTGTGTGTTTGTGTGTGTGTGTGTGTATTCAGGCTCGTGTCATGGCCACGATCGGAGTCACTCGGGGGTTGGGGGATCATGACCTGAAGGTTTACAACTCCAACATCTACATCAAGCCTTTCCTCTCCTGCGTCCCTGAGGTGTGTGTGTGTGTGTGTGTGTGTGTGTGTGTGTGTGTGTGTGTGTGTGTGTGTGTGTGTGTGTGTGTGTGTGTGTGTGTGTGTGTGTGTGTGTGTGTGTGTGTGTGTGTGTGTGTGTGTGAAGCAGCATCAGCCTTTAGGGTAGATCTGATCTGCTGTTAGACCCCGGGCGTCTCTTTGTTCGCTGTCAGAGGAAGAGTCAGAGCTGCTAAAGGAAACATAACAACAGAGCAGCAGTAAAGGGGGTGGATCTAAACTCCTGTGTATTTCCTCAAAACTCTACATCTGTTTTTGAATAAATTTGTCTTTAAAAATGATTCTGTGATCAGTCCAAAACACAAAACTAAAATAACTGTGTGTTTTGTCAAAAGTCACTTTGTTCCTGTCTGCCACTGTGAACTATCAGGCTTTATCAGACAGGCTCAAACATGGATGTAAATAAGTGAATTATGAATGAATGAGTGAATAGCTTTTTAAGTTGACTGAGCACTTTTCTGCTCAGAGGATCCGTCACTTTTTCACCTTTTCTCACCAAGCTAAGTTCTTACAAACCCAATATATGATGCATTATTATTACTTTTATTATTATTATTATTATTATTGTTATTATTGTTATTATTGTTATTATTATTGCTGTTTTACGGTATCAAACTCTCTTTCTCTCTCATCAGACTTTGTTTTTCTTTCCCCTCCATCTTTAAATGAGTATTATCAGGTCTTAGCTGCTAAACCAACAACATCACACTTGTTGAGTCACTTTCACTAAGATGCTTAAACATATGTGACATAACATGAGCAGCTTTAGTTACAGAAGAAGGTTACGGCTGCTGCTTACCAACATGCACATCATGTCACACTGTATCCAGAAAATCATGTCATCATTTATGATCAGATCATAAAAGTGATCAATAAATACCACAGATATACATAGAAAATGAGATAGTAGCATCCCGCTAAGTGACAGCCATATTGACGGGGGCAACGGTCCTGTTAAAGGCATTAGATGAACATGGAAAACAAATCATTTCTCAACTGATTTTCATGCTGTTAATACAGAATATTTGAGTTTTGTTTTTATCTAATGATCTGTATTATTGGCACATGTTTTGGCGTTGACAGTACAGTAAACCCCATTAAAACTGGTTGAGAAATGAGCGAGATATGATTTATTTTCATCGCACATGAATCGTCTGTAAATGGAACGATGCCCTTGCCAAGATGGCTGCCAGCTCAAAGGGGGATGTGGAATCTACTCTTCATATCTATGAGTAATACTGTTATTTTTCCTGCCAAAGGTGAAAGTGTACAACCTGGATGAGAACAAACACGGCCCGGATGATGTCTTAGTCATGGGCACAGATGGATTGTGGGATGTGACGACAGACAGGGACGTGGCGGACGCTGTGACGGCGTACTTATCGTGCTGTGACCCCGCTGATCCAATGAGGTACGGAGGTTGACAAATCATCTCTGGTCTCAGGTCTCTGGTGAATGTGCTGTAGAAACATTTCAAGATGAGAGCTGCAGATTTAACTATTTACTGTAATACCCAGTTTGTCCACTAGATGGCCACATAATCAAAAGACTAGTTAATGATGGGCTGTTGTGCTCAAAGCCAATCTATGCAGCCCTATTTTTAAAACTACAAGAAATGATAAATAACACATTATTATGAAGGTATGAGGACTTAATTCACTGCAGCATTTCCTGCTCTTTTATTTTAACTTTCCATGAAGACATTTTTCATAAAGCTGCAGTTGCGTTGTGTCATGATAAGAGGTGAATTTGCAGCATTAAGCACTGCGACTATATCTCTAATTTCCCCTCTCTCTTTTTTATCTGACTTCAAAATGAGCAGAGATAAATATCGAAAATCTAAATAATCAAACAAGAGGTTTAAAATTGTTATTCAACGATCAGTCAAACAGGATTACAGGCCTCTCCCCTGCCTGCTGAAATGTCCCGTGGTTTGCGTTTGTGTGTTGGACCAACTGCAGATTAGCTGTAAAGATTTGCGCAGCACAATAGCTGGAATAAGCAGCTAACGACAAACAGGGATTATATTATTGCTCAGTATTTTGCACAGGCTCAGCGTGGCCTCCGGTTGACCTCAGATTAAGATGGTGAAATAGTGTTTTTAGTGCTTCATGAAGAGGAAGAATGGACTCAAACTCTTTACACAGTAGTTATGAGTTATGATTATGAACCTGTTGGTGTTTAAGAGTGAGGACGGCTGCATAAGAGCATCGACAGTTTAGTCATGTGTTACTAAAACAGACGTGAAGTAAGAGTCAGACAGACTGGACCGACACTGTTTGATGGGACTTTGGTGTTAAAGGGATATTCCGGCGTAAAATGATGTCATGGTCAAACACACGGTAACACTGAGTTAGACCCCCCCTCCAGAGATGAATGTTGTCGACCGCTTGCTTCTCTAGTGAAACCAACTTTAGTAACGACCGCACGATAGCAATACACAGCGGTCTGAGGAGCCATAAACAAACCTCAACCAAAACGCCACAAATAATGCTCAGAACAGCACCTAACTTCATCAACAGGACATATAGGGTCACAGTCATAGTACTAGACACCAAACATCTTCTATGACAAATGTCCTCTATGTGATTTGTTATCAGTTATTTTGCAAGTCCACATTTTTGGACAAACATGGCTGTTTTCTATGTTCGCACGCTGGTTTTAATGCTACACAAAACATTAAATTTCAACTTCTAAAGTCAAACTTCATTGTGATAAAGTAGTCGGATAAACTTAAATAACCAGCACCTGCCGCAGGTCAACAAAGCCAGGCAGATTTATAATCCTATGAATCATATTTTAGCAGCAAAGTAATGACATAAAAGAATCATGATAAAACAATGGAAAAACGCACAGAAAACAACGAGAGAGACTTTTATGTTGCTCACAAACTCCCTCAATCTTGAATCTGGTCGAACCCTTTGTCCAATCACAGTGGTCTTTTTTGACACTTTGTCCATTTTGACACTTTAAAGACAGTTGATTACATCGTTACATTTGAAGAACTGTTAATTTGAGTAATTCTGATAAAACACGTGAACAAAGTCTTTTCTTTCTGTTGATCCTTTTCTTATCACACAAATCAACCGTTCCCCTAACTGGGAAAATCAAGTCAGACTAAAATATCCTCCTCTGAAACTTTTCTGACTATGTGAAGTTCTTTTACGGGTCATAGAGACACACTAAGTCTATTTGAAACCAGTTAAAATCTCCTTTAAGTCTTTTATTTAGATTCAGGTCTACTCTGTGATTGTGCTTGTCTCATCTATAGTAAACCAGACCGGTTGTTTTGTGTTACACAGGTACACACTGGCAGCCCAGGACCTGCTGATGAGGTCCCGAGGAGTCCTGAAGGAGCGCGGCTGGCGGCTACCCAATGACAGGCTGGGCTCAGGCGACGACATCACCGTGTTTGTCGTCCCTTTGTCGAGTTACGAGTCAGAGACATGACGAGGTTCCTAAGAGGCTGATTTGGAGCCTTGGAAAGAGGAGACAGAGGGATGAGAAAAGGAGAAAACACCTCTGTCTGAGAAAAGACTCGAGTTTGAGCAGCAACCTTCATCCACCTTCCAGACCGATCCAGTCCCAGCCGCTTTACTTCAACCTTGTCATGTAACTAGAGACTTTCAGTGACTTTAAAAAAAGTCACGCCCCTTTTTTTCCCACCCTGGACCTGCTGTTTGTGACGGTTGCCAGTGAGAATTAAACCCTTACAGTATTTTGATTTTTCTGTTCATGTTCAAGGCCGAACAGCTTCTCAATCCTTCGACTGGATTGTTCATTTCCACTGTTCGATTCGTAGGGCATGTTTCATCGTTCATGCTCTAAATGTTGCTCCCTTTTATAGAAAAAGAAAAAAAATCTGATGAAGTGTCAGAGAGGGGATGTGAGGAAACCAAAGAGAAGCTGTTCCGGCAGAAAGATGGAAATATCTAAAAAAGATAAACCAGAAAATGAAACAACAAAAAATCCACAAGATTCATGTCTGTACATTAAAAAAGCATGCGAAATGTAAAATCAGAGGAATGGACCTTTTCAGTTTTTACTTTTTCCAAGAAGAAGCTCTGCCTAATCAGGCCCTGCTGCGCTGTGATTGGCTGGTAATGCTGCGCTGTGATTGGTCCAGAGGCCAACAGGAAGCTTCACTCGTCAACAGAGCTGTCAATCATCACATTGAACCCCTTTAACCTCTTTTTTTAATAACTAATAAGAAACTTTAGATCAGCAGAACAATGCTGAGAATATTAATTTAATGCATATTTGGATTTTAAAGGTTGATTCATGTCCCATCTGTCGCCATGGTGGAGGCGGGCTTTAGCTTCAATACTGCAGCCAGTCACCAGGGGGAGCTCATTTTCTTCACACTTTTCTGTATAGTCTCTCATCAGTGAGAAAACTTCGACTTTGAACAACAAGTTACAGGCAACACAAACCAGCCAATCACAGCACAGGATGGCGCTCAGTGACAAAGCTTTTATTTGGAAGTAAAAACCTCGAACCCTGGACCCAGACAGAATCAGTCGAATCGGTTCTGCTGTATTTCTCTACTTAACTATGTTTGAATGAAGACACCTTAGGCGCTGTTGCACATTGTCGGTTGTAGATTGTTGATTTGTGACATCTCTTTATTGAATGTATTTGTAGACTGTTAATTTTATCTTTTTTTAAATCATTGAAACGAGAAAAGGAGAGTTTAGGCGCAGTCGGGCGGAGTAATAAGATCAAGAAATTCTTACCTTGTTGTGCTGAGAGCCGACAGCGGGCCGCGTTTCTGAGCTTTTGTTTGAGGCGTCACTTTCACCATTCAGAGTTTTTACGTTTTGCAGATAAGTCAAAGGTAATCAGCCTGCCTGGACTAACTCTCTCAATCTCCTGCTCTTGATCGTACAGGTCACATCAGATGGATTTTAGTTTATCCTGTGAATGTTCTTACCTGTTTAAGTTTCAGCCAACAAGATAAGTTGTATCTTGTTTGTTCGAAAAGAAAAAAGAAAAAAAAAAACTCACCCTGGTTCGAATTTTTGTGAATTTTTGCACGAATGAAAATCCACGACATCCGTTCTGGTGGTTTTTCCGGTGAATCTGGACTCTCTTCTCTGCTCCAGTTTGTCGGTTCGCCGTTTGTTATTTTTAAAAATGAAGGAACAGGATAATTTTGTCATTTAAATGCATGATTTCTTTATTTTTTCCCCTCAGAGGAGAGTCATCTGATGTCAGTAAACCTCTCGGTATTGTAAGATGTGATAAATTTCACACATACGCCTTATTAAGAGCTGAAAGGGACTCGAGTTTCTCCCCAGATGCACGAAGTTTGATCCTTTTACAGATGGCTGCAAACATTTAACGCCGTTTAATGTACTGTATACCTCTTTTGTACCATTTTTGTTATGTCATGTTGTTATTTAGATTATCCATATATTTTTAAAGACAACTTTGGTTGTTAACAATATCAGAAGTTTAATTTTTTATGTTTCTATCCATTGCTGTTCGAGATGGTGGTGTCGTAGTCTATGAGCCTTTCAAATGTGAGGTAGAAGGATAAACTGTACAAGTTTAGAAATAAATCAAATCTTTTCCCAGTTTGCTGTGAGTTTGTTTTATTTAAACTCTGTATTTCTTCAAGGATAAACGAGGTAAATGCTTTTTCTATATCTCCTACACTGACTCCCTGCATTATTAACACGAGCAACATGAGTTTGTGCTGACTCCCAAAGTTCCCAAATGACAAAATGACTTTCCCAGGAGCAGAACATCTCTCTCATAGCTCAGAGGATCAGAGTAAATGCTGGTTTCACCACTGCAGGCTTTACTGTTCCTCAATGCAAAGTCAGTACAAAGTTTCCAGTGTTTGCATCAGTCAGAGAGAGATTTTGGTCATTTAATTCGACCTCCAGGTAAGAGAAGTAATAAAATAAGGGTTATCTGTTTGTCCATAGAGGCTGCCAAAGTCAACATAGACATAAAGTTCCTTATTGGAGCTTTAAGTTTTATATCTACATGACCTGGATGACCTGAAATAGTTAGAGGGGGAAACTGTAGATACAAAGATGCCTCACAAACAAGGATTTTAGGGACTATTTCAGGTCTGTAACTCACCTGTCAGCAGAGGGAAGGATCTGCTCACCTCCACACCCATCTCTCCTGTTGCACGAGCCTTCTTCTACTACGGATGATGTCATCTTTGACCGGAGAGGGGAGGAGGGACACGAGCGACTCCAGCGGCTGCAGCATCTCACTGAAGTCAGTTAAAGGTAGCAGCAACAACACCGGAAATGAAGGTGCTCATTTTACAAAATAAAAGTCCAACATTGTTTTATTTCCCCAAAGTCATGGTAGGCAACACACTTTAATACACCTGAAATAAAGGCTCTGTTTTTGACGTGGTTTCTAGTTTTGTTGTTTGTTCGGTATGATGGTATGGTGGCCCTGACTGGTAATTAGGGGTGGGAGAAAAATATCAATTCACAAAAGTATTGCGATTTTTTGTTGTAAAATTTTTGAATTGATTTTTATATTAAAAAATCTTTTTTCTAAACTGAGAAAATTGACAATATCGAGAATCACATTTTAAATAGAATTGGCAACCAAATAATCGTAGAAGATTGGAATCAGGAGAAAAGCTTATTGTCCCAGCCCTGACTGGTATAATAATTTCAGGTAAAATATGAAAAATACAAAAACTTAACAGTACAATAACATAAATAAGTGTAATAAAAACCCAACACATTTTTGGTAAATATTATTGTTACTAATCAATTTTGACAAAACTACAAACTGAAACATTTTAGAATTGTGAATCAATTTCGAATGGACATATTTAAAACATATTTTTGTAGTTTTGTGTTGTTAAAATGTGTTAGTGTTTTCCAAAGTGTCTTTCGTTATCAAAGTTTATTTTGTCACTGAAATTTTATTTTGTTCTCAAAATTATATATATATATATTATATATAGTAGTGTTTTTATTATTATTATCATTATTATTTTTTAACTTTCTTTATATTTCCAATATATATTTGCTTTTTTAAAAATGGATCTTTTAGAGCTCATTTGTGTTTTCTTATAGATGTTAAATATGTCCTAAACATTTTTATATTTTCTTAAATGTTGTTGATTTTTATCAAATATTATTTTATGATTTTTTTGTTTTTGTTTCGTTAAATATTTAATTTTTAAAAATAATACGAGTGCCTATGACCTTCAGGGCCACCGTAGCTATTGGGGTAAATTGTATCTTGTGACAAGAAGTTTGTCTATCAAGTTTTTCCCAAGTTTGGCTTCATTCACCTTTAAATGGAAATTGTTCCCCACAATTTTATATTTTATTTTTTAGCTGGATTAACTGTTATCTAAAATATCATGGCTACACAAACACAAAAATATGATGTTTATACTTTAAGAACCTGACTTTTATTTTGAAATTTTTAGGCGGAAGTTGTCCGGTCTTAGTCTTGTTTGGCTTGTTTGTTGTGTGGGTGGGAGGATCCTGCTCGCCTGGCCCGTTTCTCAGCCCCCTCTCTGTGAAATTAGCGAATACTGCAGCAAGAAGTGAGGAGTGTGTGAGAGTCAGTCAGTGAGAGAGTGAAGGAGTGAAGGAGTGAGAGTGTCACGATCAGGAGGAAAGAGCGAGAAGGGATTAATATTTCACAAACATCTCAACTGGCTGGAGACAGGTAATTCTGAGAGTCACCCTCTCTGCTGTTGAATTAAAGAAAATCCGGTTCATTAGAGCTGAGTTTGTAGGATGAAGGAAGGAGCTGATGATGGCAGGTCCTTCTCCTCACACTGGGATTTTCTCTGTGGAGTTAAAGTTTGTGGAGCTGTCAGTGAAGAGTGTGTTCAGGCTGTCAGGGAGTCTTTTTTCTTCTGTACAAACTGTTGATTTCTTCAGTGTGAGGTTTTTTTTTAAAGTCAAAACAGCACATGAGAATTTGTCACCGTGAACGATCTGATCAATGAAAGCGATTATCTCCTGTTTGTCATCTTTATTCTTGGATAAACTTGTTGACAATAATAATCAGACTCCTTTCGTCAAACAGAGTTCAGCTGCAGAGAAACAAAATCTGAGGAGTAGATGGTAAAACTAACACCAAGAGAAAAACTACATTTATAATCGCTCTACATTTAAGGACAACACCTTTGAAACATATTTAATGACTGTTTTCAACATATCAGGCTGCATTTGATGGTGACGCTGTTTCAGGTATTTTGCTATAAATGAAAAATGGTGCTCGTATTTTTTATGTGAAAAAAATTGCTGTTAATTTGACTCCTTTTTGAAAATAATCTGAATCTCCAGTTTAAAGGAACAAACACTGAGTTTTAACGTTACACTGTCACTGAGAAAAGAAGCCAAATAATCAAAAAGTTAAAGCTCCTGTGAGGAACTTCACTTTGTGTCGATTTTGGCGCCCCCTGTGGACAAAGCAGTCTTTGCTTGTCTTGTTATCTACATAGTGTCCTCAGTCCTGTTTTATTTTACAGTCAAATGTATTAATTATTGGGATTATCTTGAGCAGACAATGTCTTAGTCTACGTTCACACTGCAGGTCAATTCTGATTTTTTAACCATCTGTGACACATATCGGATTTTTTCATGTAAGTGTGAACGGGTCAATTCTGATTTGTTCTAATCCGACCCAGGCCTCTTTTGTATGTGGATATGAATCGGATATGTATCTGATGTGACTGCAGTGTGGACGCTCAGGTCGCGTTCATCCGACCTATAATATGCGACAAACGTCACCATTGTTTGACAACGCAAACAGGCGTGGAAATCAATTTGTGCTCTGTGTGCATGCGGGTCACTTCACAGATACAATCTGTTCACATTAGATGATCGTTGTTGTGATGTGAACAGATTGCACAAAAAGATCGGATTTAACAATAAACCTGAATTGTACATCATAACCTGCAGTGTGAACGTAGCCTAACTCCTACCCCCTCACATTGATATTAGACTTTGATAATAATAGTAATAATAGTAACTTTATTTTTATAGCACTTTTAAAAACAGTGCTTTGAAACATATATTTGTATAAAAAATATTTATTACAGAATGCATTTTAAAATTTCGTCACTGTCTTTTGTTTATCATAAAAAACGCTTCAGTCTATTTCATTAACATCCAAAACTCCTCACAGGAGCTTTAATGAAGTAAGTTTCTGCAGAATAATGACTAATAATATTAATGGATGTGATTTATGTGGTGGAAAGAGGAGGAGGAGGAGGAGGAGTGTCCGGGTTCAGGGTGAGTCCTCTCGGCCTCTTTTGTCCGCCTCTGACCTGAGTTACTGAACAGAGAGGTGAGTCATGGAGTCATCCTGTGTCTCCTCTGCCTCTGTGGTCATCACACTCCTGCAGCCACCAGCCGACTCAACCTGCAGGTCTTACCTTACTTCCTCCTGAGGAGCTTAAGTACCCGTGAACGTCTTCCTTTAGAGAGAAAAACTGTAATAAATCCATGAAGGTGAGCGGGCTGCAGATGATTAATCTGAAATGGTCTGCAGATTCTGTGATTAGACGGAAACACAATGTGAGTCATAGTGTCACCACAGGTACCCAAATTGAAGCTCATTATTTTCTTTCCACTCATGTCGTATTAGTCATCCTAAATATGAAGTTTAGCCCATCTGAGACAGAAGTTCACTAATAAACACTTGATTTTTCAGTTTTACAGTCTGTCTGACCTTTAAATGCAAAAAAACAAGCTGTAATTTAGAGATGCTTTATGTAAGACTTACACAAGCTTGTGCATTACTTATTTTTACATATGCAGTCCTGGTCCAGGATTTGTTCCCTGGGAAAATACCCAGTAGACCTGCAGACCTTTTTAAAGAACTCTTACAGCTGTTAACAGCCGGTTTTGACATTTCCGTGAGGCAATTCTCACACAAACAATGGGCGCCAACTCGTCGTCCATTGTCAACTTTCACAATGCATCCATGGGGATTATTTGCGAGTAATTTCTTATCTTGAAAGAGTTTTTATTTTGTTTAGTGTGAGGTTACCAAGAAGCTTGAGTTAAACTACTTCTAACCAGACGTTTGTAAGAGTGGCGCTAAATAACTCATTTCTTAAGTAGGTCGTTCTCCGTCCTTTCAGAAGATGTCATACCTGGTTTTATGTCTTTGGTTGGAAGGCTGTTGGGATGTTTGGTCACTTCCATGGGTGTACCGGTAAAACCATGACTCACTGGAGCTGGAGTGTAACGTACGCCCAAAGAAAGTGAGACGCCGCTGACCTTATCTGTGTGTACTTTCCTGCTGTTATATGAGAAGGCTCAGCTCTCATACCTCGTTTCAAACGCTCATAACAAGACTGCAGCTCATACTCAGAAAACAGCCCTCAGCTTCATTCTTGGATTTTCTTTGTCTTGTTGCTTCTGTCAGATCAGACGTAGTCAGATGAGATGTTTTGAAGTCTGGTTGATGCGTCGACAGCCTCTGCTATGAACTTCGGCCTGTTTCTCACCTCTGCAGCGTCTCGCAGAGGTGAGGCAGATTCTTCAGAGCGAGTTTTGTTCGACAGCATATTAGCTCGTGTCTCCGGAGAAAAGAAAATGTAATGACCCGAGATCCTTCTCAGAAATAAGCTGTAGTTGAAGAGCAGAGAGTGCTTGAAGGCATTCCTGTAAAAGTAATGTCCCTCAAGCGCATAAGTCATTTTTTATTCTGTCATGAAATACATTTTGCATTGTTCCGTCGAGATTGAGCCTAGACTTGTAATCTCAGGGCGAGTGTTTATCTGTCAACCTGACAAACAGTCCAGCCTTGGTTTTATTGCACTGATAGTTATGAAGCCTTCATCTGATGTTCCTGAGACCCTCGACAACTCCTGTGTGATGGCAGCGTTAAATAAAAAAGAAACAGGAAATAGCCTCCCAGTGTTGATATCAGCTGATCTGTAAGTTTGAGTTTTCTAAGTTTTTTACTGTCTAGAAAAAAAACAAAAACAATATCGGCTCATTTCCTGGAACACGCCTCCGTGTTTGCAGAGGAAAAAAGTCGACCTCATCATTATCCCTGAAACAACAGGCCTTTTATTAGCTGCCTGTTTGTCTATGCTCACCATTGTTGTTGATTTTAAACTCGTGTGAGGATTGAAAGGCGGCTCCACCTCGTGTGTCACAGGGTCACGCTCTGCCGTGTGCGAGCTCGCCGCTCAGCCTGTTGCATAACTGTTTATGGCCCCTAAACCTCCTTAGAGAGAGGTGCCGTGTTCATTAACACGAGGCGTTACTCAAATAGTTGTCAGGAGTAATGGTGCTTGGCTTCTCCGTGTGCTTTCATGGCTCCTCCTGTGAGAGCCGCTCAGTATCTGAGAGAGTCACACCGACACATCTCTATAACTGCACCGTTAGTTTACTCTCATTTTTAATTACTCTTTTAATTACTTTCCTGTCTATGAAATACCCCAAAATAACACAAAAATATACATACTGTGTGTCCTCAATCCTAAAGTTCTCTTGTATAAACTTGCAGTTTGTACAAAAGTTCAAGACCCGTAAAATCCTAAATGTAGGGCTGCACGATTTATCAATTTTAAATCGTAATCAGATATTTTGATTATGACGATGTTAAAAAAATTTAAATCATCAAATCGATTTTCCTCTCTATCATGTCTCACACCTCCAGGCCACCATAGGCTCCTCCCCCTTCCTGTGGGAGCGCTCCCCAGTTCCCACACACAGCAGTGTAAACAAACATGGCGTTTTCAAAAGAAGGCAATAATTTCGTGGTTAAATAGGACAAGAGCGAGTCAGTCGTGTTGAATTGGTACGACTTCACAGTTTCAGATGAAGAGCAAACCACTCCCCGCTGCAAAGTCTGTCTGAAGGCGGTATCAACCCGTCACCACGGAAACGAATTCAGGAGGAAACGCTAAAGTTTTTTGTTGTATCGGTGTTTCATCCACAAGGAAACAACGTTTCAGGTGACAGCAAACGGTACTTTTTGAAAACAGGTCAGAGAGTGAATAAATCTGTAAACGACGACCATTTCATCTCCGTGTGGATGTCTATCTGCATCTCTGGAAACGATCATGTGACACACAGAGTAACTTTCATGGTGCCAGCATGTGTCCGACCAAAACAACCTTTATACACATGCTCTGTACTCTTCTTCTGTCTTCTGTGCGTTTCCTATACAGCGCCACTTACTGGTTTGGCATATGCACTACATAATTTTCAGTTGTTTCATTTTGAGAGACGATAGAAAAACTTTTTATTGAAGGTCTTTTTAGTGAAGTTTGTTGAAGTCGTCACTGAATAAAAAATTGATTTTATTTTTGGCCAAAATCCTCCAGCCCTCCTACCACATCTCTATAACTGCACTTTTAGTTTACTATTATTTTGAATTACTTTATTGATTACCTTCCCGTCTGTAAAATACCACAAACTTGGGTTGTTTGTCCAAAAAGTGCAAGACCCACAAAGTCTGAAATGTGTAATGAAGTAAAAACAAATCCTCCCATCTGAGAAACCTGCACATGTTTGGCAAGTTCATTTCAAAGATACTTAACAGATTACTAAATGATCAGAATTGTTTGTGATGGATTATTTGGAGGGGCTGCCAGCTGAGCTGCTGAGCTGCCGAGTGGATTTTTAATTTGTTGGTCCAAAAGCTTCTTTGTTTTTAAGGACAAAAGGGTTTTAGAAATAAAAGTAATGCTGCTTAGAGCGACAGGAGAACAGGCTGCAAACTCGACAAACTTTGTCTTTCCGAAGTTAAACTGAAGTGTTTCTCTGATGCTTTTCAGGAGGTAGAATGACAGGAGAGGCTGTGAGCTGAGCTGCTGTCATAGATACTCGGCTTGGAGTTCTTCAACTATAGAAGAGAATCAGGGTTTTTGGAGGGACTGTTCTCATGATGTCCTCTTTCTCTCAGACCAGGTGTTTTAGAGGGTTAAAATAAAAAATTAAAGCTCCTCATCAGCCTAAAGTCCAGGTCTGGGTCTCATAATCAGTGTTAGAGTGTAAAATACTGGAGTGTGTACTTCTGCTGAAAAACAAGTGTAACCCGAGTGTGTCAGGTTTTCATTTTTGGTGTTTTCAGCTGCTGTCTCACAGTCGAGGTTGTTCCCAGGTCGACCTCGGATAGATTGAAGGTTTTATGAATGTTCTTACGTTCCTCTTCTGCCAGATAAATCAGTCGTGGTTTTACAGTCACAGTGACAAGAAAATGACAATCTCTGGACTGACTGATGGTTATTTCGAGCAGACGGGGGGATTTCAAACTATTACTGCGTTTGTCACGAGAACAGTGTTTTCAGTTTCTTCTTAGTTAACATGTGTCTGTCCTCCACAGCTCAAGGTTGCAAACAGAGCTGAACGCTGACCGCTTCCTTTTAAAGAGGGGGGGGGGGGACCCTCAGGTGTGCTGATGGTGGAGCGTACCATGTTTAATTAGGTGAAAGGTTATCAGGATAAACTGTTCCAACTTTGTGGTTGAGGAGGATCTTTGTGGGTGAAACAGTGACTCTGTTGATGAATTGTGTTTGTTTAAAATGAATGTGAGTATTAAAGTGAAGTATATCGAGTTATTAGGGGAAATTTTGAGTTAATTGACAGACAGCAGCTGGTTGGTCTAGAGAGGGAGGGGCTGAGCGTTTATAAAAGACTTTGACCACCGTGAGTCTCGAGAGATCTCACTCCAGTCTGAGGGTGAAGGTGAACCAGACCACTGCAGGGACTGGGAAGAGCATGTTTGGGATTTTTCCACACAGAATCTGACGTCAAGAAAATTTTCTTTTTCTAACTTTGTAACTAAAAGCACCGCAATCATCCATGCGACTCAATCCATCATTTCCTCATTTTTCTATGGACCCTTTTTGTAAAAGGCTTAAAGCTTATAATAATAACAGTTATGAACGTCTCAGCCTGAAGGTGAGATCATATAAAAACAGCAGCTGTTTGAATATAGCCTTGTGGGTGTCGCTACCAGATCTGTCCCAGAAACTCGATTTGTACTGCACGTGTGTGAAACGTGCGTCACTTCTTCTCCTCGTATTTCAAAGCATTTTATGGCAGCTATCGCTACCGACCAAAATCGTACTGCACAAGTGCAAATTCACGTCACCTTAGAAACTTTATTTAAACTACCGATCGATTTCAGAAACCAGCTGACGATGTGAGAGGCTAGCTAGCAGGAGGATCCAGGACTAATGCGAGGCATTTGCCAGATTTCTTGCCCAGTGCGGTGAGACCTTTCAGGCCACAGAGAGCGCCACCACCAGGTCAAAACCACTGTTCTCTGACTTTTCAAATTATCAAGGGAGGATGAAGGGAACATTTGTGTATGAAACATATGACCAGTATCTTTATTAAACCATTTTATTTAAACAAAAAAGGATTTATTTATTAATGAGAAGCCGACACATTACGGACAATGAATTTCAGCGTTTTTATAAGGCGTTTCAATTTCAACACTGAAATATTCACTTTTATTCAGGCCTTTTATGACTACGCTGCAATTTTACAATCAAGCCAGTAGAAAGAACCTTTAACCATGAAACTGGGCGCCATTCTCTTGACTTTCCGGCGCTCTGCTCCAGTCGGGGGAAGTACTCTGTTCAGGAGAATAGCGTGCAGGTGCCGTTCTGACTGAAGCATCCATTTTGACTGAAGCGAGCTCGCTGATGTTGAAATATGTGACATACGTTTCGCACATGCGCAGTACAAATCGGGTTTCCGGGATGGATCGGGTAGCGACGGGGCGTAGCTTCTTGCTGCAGTCATTTCCACCAACAGCTAAATTCTGGGCATCAGTCATAAAAAGCTCGTGTATCAGGCACCATGTGTGGTTGTTTGTGACCTTTTCAAGCATAGTGTCTTTTTGCCGATACGCCAAAATGTTTCTGAGTTATCCTTCGAACATCACTGCCGTCCAACAAGAGCTGCTGAAGGAGTCATTTAGCTGTATGTAGGAGTAAGCGGGCATGTTAGTGTGTTTCAGAGCCTCTGGCAGCCCCCGCCATGTCCCGGCTCTTCTGAGGGCTGTCCAAACAAAACTGCAGCCAAACGCTCCTCCCAGACTTCACAGAACAGGAAGTGGGTTGTTTTGTTTCACAGGGTGAACCTCTGAGGCCTCACTGCTGCTGCTGTCTCCCACTTGTTTGGCTTTGAACCCATCAGGGCAATCTCTGGCCCCCTCGGCTTTTCCTGGAAATCAAAAGAGTGGGCAGTTTCTGTGGAATCAATAATATCCCTACATCCAGAGGGATTTTTCCACGTGGAATATTCTGTTTCCATTTATGATGATGTTTACTCTGTGAATTACAGAGAATACGTTAAATAACACTTCAAAAAGTGAAAATATGAAGTGATTGTGAAGTGGAGGACTTTGTTAAAGCAGCTTGAACTCCAACTTTGTGCTGCTGAGACTGAACACTGGGCACCAGGAGAATCAAGTTAGGAAGAAATGTGAACAAATCATGATCGTGATTTTCCATTAAAATGGAACGAAAGATGTTAACAAAACTGTCAAACAAGCTAACACATCCAAAATTTTCCAGTATGGCTGCTGGATCTGCCAAATTTCCATGGAAACAAGGAGGACCAGCGTTTTCTTTTTCTGTGTCTTCACTCTCTGTGAACTTGTGAGCTTATGTAATATCCCCATGTTAATTTATACAAAACTATAATTCTGTATATTCCTCTAAAATCAAACAGAAACACCCTCAGGTTTCAGTTTCCTTATGACAGAGAGACTAAAGCTGCTTAAAAATGTGAGTGTGAGGACAGTTCCTCTAGTCCTCAGAAATCAGCCATCTTCAGGAAATTGTTGAACCAGTCTGGTCATCTGTTATCGTACCGAACCAACAATAGTGACTAATAACTCCAGCCTGTATTTGTGAGGTTTTTATTGGTTTGATGCTTCTTACTCAAAGGGTTCCTGTTGCCACGAGGCTGAGCAGAGACTGAAAGTTTACCCTGCAACACTGAAAGATTAATTTCCCCCGGTAAGTGGGTGCCCTGGTGAAGAGGATTCTTGTCAAGAGTGTCTGGCTGAGAGTGGATGAGGTGAGGAGCCAAATGACTTTATGCACAGCTGCTCTCAAGCAGCAGGGCTCCAACTCATCCATCAGGTGCAGCTCCAGCTCATCCCTTCTTAGCTGCAATAACGGAAACACTCCTCCCATCTGCAGAAATCTGTCTTTGCCCTGAGAGGAGTTTTTATTCATCAAACAATCGACTGTATGCAAAAGAGACAACATCACTTTAATTCCACTCTTTGTGAGCATGAAGCCAAAATACTGACTCCATAGGTGCTGAAATATCGCAGTTTAAGCATGATTAGAAGTAGAAGAAGTAAATACAAATTTAGGATGGAAAAAAACACGATCATTTAGTCAAGATGATGGTGGCTGAGGAAACGAGACATTCAGAGGATTTACATTTACAGTTACTTCAGCTGTAGTCGAAGTTTGATCAGATCATTTAACTGGACTACTGTCTGTAGGACTGAATGATTGTGGCCAGAAATAAAATCCAGATTTTTTTTCTCTGAAAACTTGATTTTAGATTTTAATTTTTGTTCAGTGACAGCTTCACCAAACTTCATTTTAAAAAGTTTTTTTATCGTCTCTCAAAATGAAACCACTGAAAACGATGTAGTTCATATGCCAAGACAGTAAGTGGCGCTGTAACGCTGCACAGAAAATGCAGAAAAGACAGAAGAAGAGTACAGAGCATAATAAAGGTTGTTTTGGCGCCATAAAAGAGTTACTCTGTGTGTCACATGATCGTTTCCAGAGATGCAGATAGACATCCACACGGAGATGAAATGCCACGCCGTTTCCGTGTGGATGAAATGCCGATACGACTAAAAACTTTAGCGTTTCCTCCTGAATTCGTTTCTATGGTAACGGGTTGATACCGCCTTCAGACAGACTTTACAGCGGGGAGTGGTTTACTCTTCATCTGAAACTGTGAAGTCGTACCAATTCAACACGACTGACTCGCTCTTGTCCTATTTAACCACGAAATTATCGCCTTCTTTTGCAAACGCCATGTTTGTTTACACTGATGTGTGTAGGAATAGGGGAGCGCTCCCGCAGGCAATATTTTTTGCCTGCGGGATGGAAGGGGAAAGTACAGTCTCCTCTGATTGGCTAGAAAAGCTGGAAACGTCATCACATGCTCAAGCTGTCGGCTCTGTACATCGAACAGAACATTATCACACTTCTGAATCTCCTAACCCTAATCCTAATCCTAACCCTAACTGTAACCCGACAGACGGTGACATTTCACAGCCATTAGGAATAACCAATCGGAACCCAGCACTTCTAGCCAATCGGAGGAGAAGGAGGGCGGGACCTTGCCCTACCCTCCTACAAAAACAAAAATTTGCCTCCCGCAGGAAGAGGGAGCCTACGGTGGCCTGGAGGCACGAGACATGATAGAGAGGAAAATCAATTGTAATTTTTTAACATAATCAAATAATCAGATTACGATTTAAAATCAATTAATCCTGCAGCCCCAACTGTCCATGTCCCAGTGTACAAGCACTGATGAGAACTGGTTTGAACAGATTATGTTTATGCTCCACTTTCAGCTGGTTATGATTGGTCATCTATTATGTCATTTACCAAAACAATCAACAGACTAATTAATTAAATTTAATCAGCCGTCTCAGTTACAGACAGTCAGTCAGACGCTGAATATCAACCTCGGCAATCAGCCAAAGCCGGTCCAAAATCAGTCCACCCTTAGAGCAAACCATAACCCTGACATCCAAATATGGTCGCCTTTAGATCCAGCCAATCAGGATGATGGATGGTCATCATGTAAGACTGAAGGACTGGGAATAAAAGGGTTCAGAAACCAGTGTGTGAAGTCATGGTGGCGGCCTTGACTTGTTTCACACTCGTGCTGAACTCCAGTTTAATAATGAAGAGACAGACGAGCCAGCAGCAGCTTTCGCTCTTCCTCCAGGGTAACCGAGGTAATGTCGACTGTGGGAGCGGTCTGAAAGAGGACCGGGAGAGCATCTGGAGGGATCAAAAGCAGGCCGGTGTTTCATCTCCTGCAAGTTCTTCAGCAGCTGCTCTGATTTCCCAGACCGCAGAGGGAAACAAACAGGGCAGAGGCCTGATAACACATTCCTTCATGTCCCAGCCTGTCCCAGCACCCCCCTCCTTCCTTGTCCCTTACTGTCCTCCCCCTGCTCCTCTTTTCTTATGCGGCTTTTGTAGTCGACACGATGTGGCGTTGGGGATCCGAGGTCTGTGCCTGCAGTTGTCTGTGACGGCGTGGAGATGAAGGAGCTCTCCCTCAGGTGTAATCTGACTCGGTTCTGTCAGGCGGAGGTGTCAGACTGGTCGCTTTGGTGCCGCACAGCACGACTAGAAAGTTTTGTTCAACACCGTGTTCTTGATCCGTCTCATGTTCCTCCTACAACCTCTACAAATAATTTAAATATCCGTCATACAGACTTCAAAAACGGGTGACAGAGTGAGCGCCGCAGCTTGACAAGCGAGATCTCTCATAGCAATAAAGTTTATTTCCCTGCTGCGGCGCTCCTGATAGATTCTCCTGAAAGTTTTGTTTTTCTTGTCTCCCAGCAGAGATGGCAGCCATCCGGAAGAAGCTGGTGATTGTCGGGGACGGAGCTTGTGGGAAAACATGTCTTCTCATTGTTTTCAGTAAAGACCAGTTTCCTGAAGTCTACGTCCCGACGGTGTTTGAGAACTACATCGCCGACATCGAGGTTGACGGGAAACAGGTTTGTACTTTTAGTAACAGAAGTGTTTGTGTGGAAATCTCTCTCCATTAGATCATAAGCCCCGCCCTTTTTGATAACTAATTATTACACGTGTCAGGTGTTGTTTGTCATTAGAGAAGCAAACAGCTAGGGCTGCACGATACTGGAAAAAACTAACATTGCAATTTTTTTCAACCCTGCGATATTAAAAAATGGAGGAATGTTCATCAGATGACCTGATTATCACTTTCTGCTGAAGTCTTGAGGACAGTTAACCTGCACTGATCTCACCTCTTTAGTGAATGTTAGTAGAATAACTTCTGTCTGTCTCAGAGATATTTTCAGCTTTTATTGTTCTGGGACGTTATTGTGGAAACAGATGAACACAGAATACGTGTTTTGGTCGACATCTTTCCTTTGTAACCAAATAATTCCTGATAACTGACGTTTTTTTTTCTTTTTAGCAACAAGTCTTCGTCTTCGGTGGTTTTCTCTTGTTCGTTGCTCATTTTGCAATTGTTGTTGTTGTGCCGAGAAACGCATGTCTGCCAAGAACAACACCAGTAGCGCCTCCGACTCACTCCATGTGCAGGGGCGTGGTTTCCTCCTCTCTGATTTTGATTGACGGCTGGCAGGATAGTCTGATTGGCGACCGAGTAAAGAACAAATGTGATTGGTGGATCACTGCTCGGCACATGCAGAGTCACATGAAGTGTATCTCCGTCAGCTAACCCTTTTAGAAATTAGATGAGTTCATTTGCCTCCGACATCGCAGGATCTTCAATGTGACTATCACACACACGTTCATCGTGATGACGATGCTCAAACGATATATCGTGCAGCCCTACAAACAACACAATTAAACAACACAGGACTGGACCGTACTCTGTTTACAAAGATCCAGTGTAAAGATGGAGTAAGATCAGACTCTGTTCCGTCCACCTGTAGAGAGGAGAGGCAGAAACCTCGAGCAGAACCAGACTCGTGTGTCTGCTGAGTCTGGACAGAGGTGAGACTGGTTTCAGTATCTCATACGTCAAACGGTCGAGGTTTGAGTCGAGGCTGAACAGCGAGTTCTGAAACCCTCCAGTCCTGACTCTGAAGTGTGTCTAACTTCAGGGCGCCGCTCGGCGGTGGTCGAGTCTTCGCTGCAGATGGTCTGTTACGTCGAAGGGTTTTGTTCTCTTGAGCCGACCACCGCTGCAGGATTACTCCATGGCAAAACAGGAAATGACTCTTCTTTCCAGCTTCCTGTTCAGACAAGGAACAGCAGCCATGTCTCCTGGCGATCCCCCCTCCTCACATCAAGACCTCCTCCACCTCCCTTCCTCCTCCTCCTCCTGCCTGATGAGCGTCTCATTTCCTGCCCTGGTGGTAATCAAACTCGAGGAGGCAAGAGGGGGTCAACTGTTGTTTTCTGGACCGGAAATACAAACTTCTGGATCCATGGCTGACATCTGCGGAGGGTTGGATGATTTTGGTAAATGGGGTTGTCAGTCTCTTTAAGTTTCCCCCCCCGTCATCTATCAGGACACAGCCCCCATGAGAATCAGCCCATTACACAACCAGCTGGATTTGTTCTCAGGCCCTAAATCTCTCTCCTCAACACAAAAACAGTTTTTTCTTTCACCTTCAGAGGTTTGGGCAGACCCTAAAAATAGCTGTTTTCCCCTCATTTTCTTCCTCCCCGAAGTCTCCAGCCTCCAAAAAGGTCCGGTGGGAACGTCATCTCTCCAGTTGCTCATGCAGTCTCACCAGTGTGCAGCCACCTCCCACCCTCTGCCTCTGCAAACCTCTATTTTGGGACCGTGGACTGATGCGTTTGGTCTCTGTGGGCTCATCAGCCTTTTCTGTCATTCAGTGAAGTTACAGGATTCAAACTTTCGAACACATCTTCCCTGAACACACTGAGTCAGCTAAAGAGGCGAGTGAAGCCCGGCTGCTAATGTCTGTTCAGGGACAGGAGGTATCTGGATGGATGCTCACTAATCTCCCACTTTCCCTAATTGAATTAATCAGCGGTGTGATGGGATGAGGCCGTTCCCAGAGTTCATTTCCACAACAGAGACAACATTACAGGAATATAAGGCTGATGAGTTTAAAGCACAATGAATCCAAAGAAGGAAAGCGGCGTTTGTTTAAAGACATAAATCATAAGCTACGATCGATATGTGAGGAATGTGTGCTAAGAGGAGATTAATGTCCGGAGGTTAAGTAATGGTAGCTTTATTAGCTTCCTGGTATGTGAGGCTTTGACCCCGGAGAAAATGACTCGAATGCAGCACATACCTCAGCGTACTCTCAGAATCCTCAGGCTCTCAGCGGATCAGAGAATAAACCTGATCCCTGATGGTGTCATGTCATGTTAAAGCCCCGTTTATACGTACCCGTTAATTTTTTAAACGGAGACATTAACCATTGTTTGCTCCCTTTGAATCCACTCCTGAAAATGATGCTTTTTAAAAACTCCGGCCAGAGTGGAGATTTTGGAAAACTCTGTTTGCACGTTTGTGTGTAAACAGAGAAAAACGGGGATCTGGGTAGCTGACGTCAGATTGTGCGCCGCAAACTGAGTTAAATGTGACGTTGTTTACAATCTATGGTGATCATGGATGGATGCAGAATAGCAGTCACACTTATGGTGGTACAATCTCTGTATATTTGTTTGCATTTGCATTTATGTCTTCTCCAAAAGAAGGAAGTGACATCATTGTTGTTGTTGTTGTTGTTGTTGTTGCTATGCGGGATTCTGATTGGCTGACGTGCGCTTTAGCTTCTCGCTACACTGCCACCTACAGGTTTGGCATGCTCTTGATGACATATATACACGGGTTAGTGTAAACAAAAACTTGCCTGAAAACGTAGTGGTGTGCACGCAGTTTTTTTAGGGACAATTTTTTGGGTGAAATGTCAGTTTATGAAAATAGCCGGGCACGTGTAAACGTAGTCTCAATCTTAGTTTGTGCATTCATTTGGATTCAGCGGTTGTAAAAATCTGAGCCGATGCTGATACTGATTTTTTAAACAATAATTAAGCTCATGCCGATGACGATGTTTTTTTGTTCTTTTTTTTTTGCATGTCGCTGGCCTTTTTCAGAGATTGTGTAATAATCCTAAACTGCCGACATTTTGTTCGACTGTAAACAAATCTCACATGTTGTACTCAGACCTCATGCCGGTATCTGACTAACATGTGACTCCTTCTGCCCAATAAAATGTGTTTACATTATTAGCAGTTGCTGTTCTAAAGATTGATGAGTAGACGTAAACATCGGCTACTCCCATTGGCGCATTCCACTTTATTTACTGATAGGCCGATGTCCGTCAATAGCAAATCCCTAAATTTGGATCACCTGACAGTATTAAAAGACGAACAAATACGACTCCGATAAATCAAGTATCCTGCATCAGTTTTCATTGCTTTAGGATTCCTGTTTCTATTTAAGATTTTACATAAGATATTATTTTACTCCAGTGGACTTGATTGTCATTTCTGTATTATTTGTGGTTTGTGTTGAGCATTAAGTATTTTAAACCCTTTGTTGTGAGACTAAACGTCACTCATAGTAGCTTTAAGAGGAGTTTTAACACTTCACATTCAACCCAGACGCTCTATGAGACACTCTGTTGTATTATTTTCTCATGTCTAGGTGGAGTTGGCTCTGTGGGACACTGCGGGTCAGGAGGACTACGACAGGTTGAGGCCTCTGTCGTATCCTGACACAGATGTTATCCTCATGTGTTTCTCCATCGACAGCCCTGACAGTTTAGGTAAGAAAACCACTCCTTTAATCAAGCTGGGACAGATTTGTCTGTATAAAAATGGCTGATTCTGAGGTAAACGACACATTTTAATAGTGATATCTCTTTTTGAATTAAGTCACCTTCTCTGAGCTGTTCTCAAACATCTTCACTCACTTGATGAGGAGCAGGATTAGAGCTGCTAAAAACATCTTTGCCTCCGGCAGTCTGCAGAGCCATCCATCATGAGAAGTGTTCTGCACTGTGACTCTGCGCCGCCTGTCCCTTTTTATAGTCCGACCCCTCCTCCCGTCTGTCTGGAGAGTCTCAGCTCACGTTTTTTCTCTTCCTGGACAGAAAATATCCCCGAGAAGTGGACGCCGGAGGTGAAGCACTTCTGCCCCAACGTTCCCATCATCCTCGTGGGGAACAAGAAGGACCTGAGGAACGACGAGCACACACGGAGAGAGCTGGCCAAGATGAAGCAGGTACAGGAGCCTCTGAGGGCCAATAAGCAGAAGGAGATGGGTAATGAAGGACAAGGGGGAGTTCCCCAACAGTCTGGCCCCTAAACCTGAATAATTAATGCCACACACCCATCAAAAATACTGCTTCAGAGGGAGCTCAGTTTGACAAGAGCATTAAAAGTAGCTGCTTCATTTGCATGTAGTTTCTAGTGAAGGTGTGGATTACACTCCTGTCCTGGGAATATTTGATCTGCATCCAACCAGCTTTGACTGAAACCAGGTCTCCAGTCCGCCGTCTGAGACCGAGACAGAGTAGGGCGCCCTGACGAGAACAAAACAAGCCCTTATTCAGACGTGTCTCTTCACTTTTTACACTCTTCAATCTCAAACTGGAATATCTGATTTCTGCTGTTTTGTTTCTGAGGAATTAAGTGTTCTACATACGAGTGTTTTATGGCGGCTGTATGTCTCTGACTCCCTATAAAAAGTGACATGATTGTTGTCCTTTTATGGCCGTGGTAGGAACACTGAAGAAACTCTGACCTAATCAGTTTTGTCTGTGCAGACCACGAATACTTACTCTGTTTCAACCACAAAGAGCTGCAGAAATACAAGGTTTTGATTGGTTAAAAAAAACTAAAAGTCTAAAATTAACAGTGGTGAAGCAAACAAGGTCACACACTGAGAGTTGGTGTAAATACATTTTTAATGCCTGTGACAGCTGTTGGAGGGTGAGGAGATCGACGACTCTTTTAGAGGAGAAACTGCAGATTTTAATCGGCTCTTTCTTTATCCTGTTCGCTGATCAATTTTCAAAATCATTTAGCCTCTCCTAGGACTGGGCGATTCGGCAAAAAAAAGAGAGATAACGATTTATTTTGTCATATCGTCCGATCTCGATTATTATCACTTTGTTTTTTTAAACTAGACAGTTTTTAAGCATCTGAACTAAAAACTAAAGAAACTAGAGATTAGTTCAACATTTTATTAACATACAAAGTAAATAACAAAGAATAAGAAAAATATAAAAACCATTTTAACTCAACAAGTACAACAAATGTAGATAAATACTAAATAAACAAGTTTCCCTCTCAGAAATAATAAAGATGCCTTAAAATCTAAACATTAGATGACGTAAACATAGATGATACGATTGATCGCTGCTTTGGTCTGGTGGCTGCACCACTAGTTTTAGCTAAACTGCTAATGCTACTAATGCCGTCAGCAGTGAAGGTACAGACTCCGCTCACATTTTCAGGCTTCCCGCTTTAAGAACTTCTTCAAATGATTGAACGGATTTATTGTGTTGTCGGTTTTTGAGGTCACCAACCGCCAACATACCTTACACATCGCCATAACTGCTCGACGTCACTTTGGAGATATCGGAACCACCGCCACACAACCGACGCTGAATAACTTCTCAACAATAACATCTTCAGAGGACGACTCAAAGTCATGGCTGACATTGATTTAGTTGCCCTCAGCTCCACGTTCGGTCATTCTGTTTACTTCTCTGGCAACTTACAGAAGTGAGCAGGAAAAGCTCGACTCTGATTGGCTGTAAATATGCTCACAGCTGATCACTGTGATCGAACTGAAATTTATCACGATCATATAATCGCCCAGACCTAGCCTCTCCATTTCACCTCTCGGGTAAAATCACGCAAAACTATTCGAATGAACCATGTAACAAGCTCTCTGATTGGTTATAAGCTGACCTATTACATGCAGATGTCTGTAGGGAGATAAAGTTGTAATATGAGAAAGTAGAAATAATAATCTTTTAATTGTTCAACTGCTTTTTATTCAAAGAAATGACTTCCTACAATTTATGCCACTCTCATGGTCACATATTCAGATTAAACGTATTTGACGCCAGACTTTTCTGTGTGTCTGTTTTGTTTCATACGTGTTCAGAGGAGACAGGTGTTGGTTGAATATTTGGATTAAGAAAAATGTACCTCCCCTCTCCGCAGGAGCCGGTGAAGACAGATGAAGGCAGGGACATGGCCTGCAGGATCAGCGCTTTCGGCTACTTGGAGTGCTCGGCTAAGACGAAGGACGGCGTGCGGGAGGTGTTTGAGATGGCCACCAGGGCGGCGCTGGAGGTCCCGAAGAGAAAGAAGAGAGGCGGATGCACACTTCTGTGAGGAGACCTGACGCCATCAAACCGACTGACCAATGAGAGAAGACGAAACACACGGAAAGGACTGCCCTTCTGCCAAACTGTATCACACATTTCCCGATGACGGTCAGACGGATGATACAGGAAAAGGATTTTGTCGATATTACAGCTGTTGTTAGAAATTGATGTTTAAAATTGTTGATTTTTTTCTTAATCTCTCTTCACGTATACATTTTTTCCTACTTGTTTTTCTTTATGTTTTGAGGAGTTATACATGCACATATTTGTATGCAATATTGTCGTTCACAAGCTCAGACGAGCAGCGTTTTATCTCGCTTGTATAAAGTCTTTGAGTGTCCGGACTGTCCTGTAAGCTGAAGCTGTTTATCCTGCTAGCGTAATGATGGAAAATGAAAGATGATGTTTTTTGAGCGTAACAGTGAGTGCCTTTGTTGTTGTTTTCACACGCGTCTTCTTCTCATGTTTGTCGGCTAGTTTATACGTCATCTATGGGCTCTCCGTTCTGTTGTGCCTCTTTTATACAGCGAAACCTGAGGAGACATTAACCGCTCTTCAAGCACAAAACTGTTCGCTTATTTTTGGTCTTTGTCTCACTGTTTAAGGAGCTGCTTATCACACGGTTATACCAATAGACTAAATATACTACGGACAACTTGGCTCCGCTTTACGTCATTTTACGAATTTGAAGCTGAATTGCTCTTGGTATTTCCGGGATTTTCTCCACTTCCCGGAACCATCACTTGCGCAATAGCGTCTACGCATTCGGCGGTAGATTACCCTCCGGGAGAGCTACACAATCCCTGAATGCCAATAGGCTGTATCAGGTGTCAATCATAGAAAACATGAACCTCCTAATAACTTTAAAAATGGAGCTGTACAGAAAAAAAGAGGATTTGAGCACAAACCAGTCTGACAGTAACTACATGTCAACATCACAACCAGGGGGGAGAAACATTTATATTCTGTGTCATTAATTTATAAAGTTTGTCCACAGCTCCATAGGGATTGCTGGAGGAGGCGGGATTTAGGACCTATACTGCAGCCCGCCACCAGAGGGCGCTGTTCTCATGGTGGCTTCACCCAGAGAGGAGGCAGACAGTGTCCGTTCTATAAACAGTCTGTGGTTATACCACTTTTAAGATGATATGTGACGTATTATCCAGGTTATGAGGCTGTTTCTCTAACTGAAGATCATTTTTTGTGTTTTTTTAAGTCAGTTTAGAAAGACAGAAAAAAAATCTGTTGAAAAACAGATTTAAGTGCACCCATTTTCTTTTGATGAAAAAAATAGACAAGCACAAAGTTTACCAATGATCATTACAGAGAGGTAATTGATTTTGACACTTATTTGGTCTTTTAAAAAATATTAAACGTTTTTTAAAAATTATATGAATTAGCTTAAACCCAACTCTTAAAACCTACATCACCTGATAACAACTTTAAAGCTCCTGCAGTGACACAGATCCCGGGTCCTGAGCCCAGTAACATTTCATGAGACTATAAGGGCTGTCCTTACTGTTCATAGTGTGGTGGGACAAAAACGAGACGTTGATGAGGTGACAGGTTGCCTTCAGTGGTTGATTTTTGCGTATTTGTCCAGAAACAAATCCACTGTCTCTTCGGTGTGTCGTATTTTTAAAAAAGGGGGTCTTGGAGCACAGATGTGCACCCGTCCAGCTCTTGCACACGTCTCTGATTTCAGATCTAACCTGGAAGTACAACAGCTTGGTTTAAAGAAGTCCAGTCAGGTGTCCTGCTTTTATTTGTGTTTGTTTTTCTGTTGCTTATTTGTGTAAATGTGTCAAAGAGGGCGGGTGTTAAAACTGTATCTTCAGTGTCACATATATCCTTTTTGTAAGGCCAGTAAAGACGTCAAACCTCACAGACGGCAGGATGTGTCTTCACTTATTTTAGCCGAGTGCACACTCCTCAGTGAGCGATCTCAAGAGGAAACTACAGCTTACAAAACCAGCTGACGTTACGACCTTCTCTATAAATCTTTCTTACATGGAAATGTTATAAATCTAGACTTCGTGACTGAGTGAAGATTTGTAGTTTTAAACGGCCTTAAGCTTCATGTCCAACATTGTCTTCTCCATGTTTTTTTGCACGTCTCAACAAGCCTGAAGTTGAGGAATTCTTGAGGTCAGCGGCAGCAGAGATAGCCGAGCAACTGTCTCCTCTGGACGAAGAAGAACGCGTTTCCACAAAGTAGCAGAAGATTTTCAAAACTGTTGATGTCCTTACGGTGTCGGTGTATGCATGAGAAAACCATCAGCCTGTACGCAAACACACTCCAATATCCACAGACACGTCTTTGGGAAAAGCTCCTTTCTTTCTTTCTTTTTTGGAAGTATTTGAAATGATTACACACAGATTTATGTCAAAGTCTATTAAAATAATGACTTTGTAAACAAAAGGTGTCGTCATTGTCTGATCTGAGTTCTCGTTGAGTTTGACGAGTACGACCAAAAAAGTAAAAGTGTAAAACGCAGAATGATTAGAAAATGATGTTTATTTTTTTAACAGGCTGTAAGAGTCTGACAGGAAAACATGATGTGTTTAAGAAACTGACTTTGTACGTAGAAACAATGTTGAGAAGTATGACAAACTACTCCTTATTTTCTCATCATAATTAAAGTTTGAGAGTATGAGACTTTCCTGCCAATCCTCTTTGGCTGCAGTTTCACTCAGAAAGCAACAGAAGAGTCGACGTAAAAGAGTCAACAGCAAAGAAGGAAAAGAGAGAAGGTGGTGGATTCATTTTGGCATTATCGTCAAAAAAACAAAAAAAACAAAGACGGTGTGGTTTAACTGAGCCAGAAACAAAAACTCTGCTCTCGGAAAAGTTTCCAAAAAAGGATGTTCTCTGAAATTAAAGATGACAGTGTCGTGTTACGAGACAAAGGAGGGAAAAATGAGAACTGAAAGGAGCTAAAGATCGACTTCTCTCTGCTGAGGATGTTAAACGGAGAGTCTACTGCTCGTTCTTCCACTCCAGGTCCATGTGCTGCTGGAGGGCGCTCTCATCCGACTCAGGATCTGAGAAAAACACACAAAGACACGGTTTCTCACAGCGGCAAACTATTTTTCACACGCCATACAAGCGAGAATAAATGACGACCCGTGTACTGATCCAGCCAACCATCATCTCTAGATCTGGTTTAACTTCGCTTACTCTTGCAGATTCTCAGGGTCAACAGCCTCGCCACGAGCTCGTCTTCTCCCTCTGCCTCAGTAAAGTCATATCCAGTGTAGCCTTTCTCCTTCACACAGTAGCTGATGAACCTGATGAGAAAAACAACAACAAATACGCACTGAGAAAAAGCTGCTTGATACGACCTCGACTAAATAAGAGTCAGTGAGCTGTAAGACTGAGATAATATTTCATTTCTTAAACTCCAGAAGCCGAACTCCCCGGGTTTTAAATGTTGGTCGTGTTGTTCAGAAAACAGGTGATGCAATGCAGTGGTAAATGTTTCCCTGTCTTAGCTGCAGATATTTGTAGTTAACTGTCATGTTTGAACAGTTTCAGTCTGTTTTTAAACCATGTCAAAGTTCTGAAACTTGAATGTAAACTCTACCCCTCCAAACCAGTTTTCCCCTCAGCTCCTCCTCTCCCCTCAAGCCCCGCCCACAAACAGACTCTCCTGCTCGCTCGTATCGTTCCGATTAAATTCAGATATAATGCAGATAAATACTTCAGATCATTACAAATGGGGCCCAGTCAAGGTGAAAGTCAAAAGCATTGGTGCTACTGTAGATGCCAACAGACTACCAGCAAACACAATGTTTGCAGGACTTCTACAACGAGGATAAAGTGACATAGTCCAGGACCCGAGGGAGGACAGTTTAGCGATGGCGCTACAACACGCTACAGCAGGTCCGTTTGACAAGAAACACTTCTGTTACAGACACTTGTCTTACTTTGTTAAAGCGGTTTACCTGTCCAGCAGAAAGGTTACAGGGTCACCAAGATCCAGAAGCATTTATGCCAATGTTGACCCGGCTTTTTAGCTCTTGTCCGGTCTACCTCCGTTTTAAGTGCCCGTTATTCCTCCAGAGTCTCCGGTATTTACTTTGTTTTCTTGCTTGTGTCTTGTTGTGGCCAAAGGAGGATTCAGACAATTTTCCAAACTTTCTGGTTGGTTTCTACTGTCCGATATTGTAGCACGCTAACTTTGTTTGGGCTCCTGAACGACACGGGGGAGCAGCGTCTGCCTCACGACCAATCAGGTTAGAGGAGGTGGAGAACGGCTTTGTTTACAGTCAGAAAGAGCGGACCGCTCAAAAATGTTCAAATGTTGACGACACAGACATAAGAGATATCATTATATTTCAAAAGGTCATCAATAACTAATATCTATTGACTGATATTTAAAGATTTTTTGTTTAAACACCACACAAAAAAGACACTTCTTTAACGTATTCCTGCCGACCCCACCTTTAAGACCGCTCTTAAGTGGTCAGAGGATGGACCGTCTTATTTGTGGTGTCCCTCAAGTATCTGCTCTGAGCCCAGTCTTGTTTCCTCTGCATGTGTTAACCCCTTTGACTCTATTTTCCATAAATATAACATGTCATTTCGTTGCTATGCTGATGATGTTCGAGTTTATTTCTCAATGACATCCAGTCATGGCTGAGCCTAAACTTCCTAAATCTGAGTCTGGCCTTACTCCTTCCAGACGGGGTCCTTGTTGAGGATCACAGGGTTTCCCACCACGATCAGCAGGGACTTGGCTCTGGTCAGGGCCACGTTGAATCTCTGCATAAAGAGAGGAAATGATGAACTGTTCACAATCTCTTTAAGAGGTCATAGTCAAGGATATGATGAACCTTCGCGTTGGCCAGGAATCCAATGTTGAAGTCCAGGTCCATCCTGACGTAGTTGATGCTGCTGCGGACTGTGGAGACCATGATGATCTTCCTTTCCTGTCCCTGAAACTCCTCCACACAGCCGACCTGACACCAAGAAGAGAAATGAACACCAGTGTGAAAACAATCATCCTGTTCTTTATGTCAACGTGAGCTGATGTGTTCACAGCAGTTTCCAAACCTTGAGCTCGGTGAGATCACTCCACCGACTCAGCGCCGGGACAGACCTCAGAGCCTTCCGGATTTTATCCACCTGCCAGAAGACAAACACGTGAGCTCGACGACTCCCAACTGTTCACCCTCATCCCCAGAACCATCATGCAAACTCACCTGCTTCCTGTAGGGGGCGATAATGCCGATGTCTTTAGCCGACAGTTTGGGCAGACCCTTCTTTCCCTGAGTGTCGATCAGCTTGGTGAGGTAGTCCATCAGAACTTGGATCTCGGACACGTTGAAGAAAGACGGACTGTTGGCCTCTCGCTCGTCCTTCCCCATCACCCCGTGGAAGATCAGCGGGAAACCCTGTAGTCGGAGGGAAGTGGGCGATCAGCTTAGTGAATTATTTTCTCTCTTCCTCTCCGAGTTTTGTTTGTTTTGAGCTCAGGTTTTACCGTCCTGAAGGAGAGCTCCCATCAAAAACCTTTTTCCAGTTGATCTCATGAGTTTAGATTTATCTAGTCTATTTTTTTGCCCAACTTAGATCCTGAAGAGATTTTTCCCCATTATTCCCTCTAACTTGATGTTATTATTTTTCAAACACCCAACATGTACAGTCCTTTAATTTGCTCTCATTATAGACATTTGCTGTTATAAACCAACATTTAACCAGAAAACTTCATCGCGTTTATTGAGTTAGCTTGGCCTTTGTCGTCTGTATTGAGGGAAACATCTGATGATAACTTTAAAACATGTTGCTGGCATCTAATTTAAAATCAGCATTTATAACATATTAGTTTTTTGATTAAATCCAGGCTTTAAGAGGATCTACAAACCATCTGATTCTGTGTCTATCAAATGAAATAAATGTTGTAGAAATACGTGTAAAAAATCAGAGGACAGTGTTAATAATGCAGCTTAGATATAATTATTTCATGTAAGTAAAGTAAATGTGATAAAAAGAGTAAATAAAGCACTCATGGTTTCAGTATTTACCGTAAATATCATAAAAAACAGGCATTCCTTTTTTTAATCTTTACTGCACTGATTTTATTCTGTGATTTTTTTGGACCTTTTTATTCGCTGAGATTTTTATTCTGCTTTATCTGTCAAAGCACTTTGTAAAGTTTTATTTCTAAAGAAGTTATTTTTAATATTCAACAACTATTGTAGACATACGAGTGTGTGTGTTTTATTGTCTAAAATGGTATTTTATTTCTGTTTGTATTATTTTATGTTTGAGGACCGCAGTGAGATTTTTCTCTCATATTGACAGTATTTCTACATTTCTCATCATAATCTCATGATATCATATTCTGACCACTGTTTTTTTAATGACTCTGCTGCGTTGACGACCATTACATCAAAATCCATATCAGGCAGCTGCTGATTCAGATTATCTCTTAAGCTGATTATTTCTTTATTTTGATAATAAATACAGCGTTTGCTGGTGGTGATCACACGTCTTAAAGCTCTTATTGTCATGATATGTTCTGTAAATGTAGTTTTTTCATTGTTTTGTTATTGGAGTCTATTTTCTTTGTGTTCCTGTTCCCCTGAAGTCCAGTCTTGTGATCATTCAATGATGTTTGACCCTGTTTCTCTCCTGTTCTCTGATCAGTTTTCAGTGTTTATTTCCTGTTTTATTTTGTAGGAGTTGATTCCTCGTGTTTCTAGTCTAGTTTTACTTCCTTCGTTAATCACCCATGAGTCTCACCTGTGTCTCGTCTGTCTCACCTGTTGCACGTTTCCTTGTGTGTGTATATAGTCCTTGTCTTCCCCTCTGCTCTTGTTGGTTCGTTGTGTGTGTTTGTCAATGTCAGCGTACGCTTGTGTCCCCAGTTGTCTCCTTGTGTTTTGATTCTTTGGATTTTGCTTCTTGTGTTTTTTGACTTTTGGATTTTGTTTGAGAGCAAGTTTTAGTTGGACTTTTGCTTTAATGAATCCTTAGTTCTGCATTTTTGGGTCTTTCTTCTTTGTTTTGTGTATCGTACAAACCAAACTCGACAGCATCTCCTGTGTTCTCTGTATATCAAACACTTTGGCGGTAATATTTACAGCTCATGACACCTGTATTGGGTTTTTTAGTCCACACACCTTTCTGGGGAGGTGCTCCCATTTGCAGTAGGCTTCCCGCTCCCACTGGTCAGCAAACACCTGCAGCTCATTGTCGTAAAACCTCTCGTTGGGGATCTTCAGGATCGCAGAGTGAGACCTGAGAAGAAGACGATAAAATGAGGAATATGAGAAGCAGCAGCAGCAGCACTCTAAACATTTGATCGATAAAAGCAGAAAATATGGGAGTGAAATCTGGAGTATAAACCTGTAGTTTCGCAGGAGCTTGGTGACAAACCGGGTGTCAAAGTGTCCGGAGTCGTTTTTCTGATATAAGGCGTTGTGGTCCATCAGTCTCTCCAGCAAAGAAATCCCTGAGGAACACCGCAGCATCACATGTAAGACCTTTACGTTAAAGAAAATGACATCCCATAATAAGATAATGAAACCCCCTCATCTCACCGAGTCCATGCTGCACAGCCAGGCGTGAGCGAACGATGGGTCCCAGCTGTTTGGGGTCTCCCGCCAGCACCAGCTGACCCTGCCCCGCCCTGAGCAGACCTGAAGCAAAACATCCGACCAATCAGTGAACAGATGAGTCAGTGTGATCACCTTCTTAAAATCAGGAGACCATCTTGAACCGTTACAGCAGCCGTTTTCTCCGTCTGCAGAAATCTGTCAGGTTTGCAAACATGTGAAGTGAAAACGAACAGAGTAGAAAGTGTCGGGGGAATTCACTCCTCAGATTCTTCACATTCCTACCACAGATCAGGTTCAGCAGAATAACCAGAGAGAGACCTGTTCAGTGTTTCAGGGGCCTCTTGACAGACCCTCCCCCATCATGTGACCTTTGTCTCAACAGCTAAATTGCATCTATTACAGTGTGAAAGGAGTGACGCTGATACCAAGACTCACGAGGTAAATGGAGCTAAAGTGCTGCTGCTGAAAGTCAGACTTCTACTCTGTTGAAATGAGAACATGATGAAGAGTTGGATCAACCTTAAGAGCTGATAAAAAGTCAATCTATAGTATCGATGAGGAATCAAAACCACTCTTCAGTTAGAGAACAGACTCAGTGAAGGAATGAGGTTTTTTTTAGAGTCGACCTGCAACAGCAATGACGCACTCCGGCTCCGCTGCCTGACCGGCTTCATCCAGGAAGATGTGAGTAAAATGGTCCGCTGAGATTCCTCCAGACACCAGCCTAGAACCAGGAACAAAAGGAGCTGTGAGAGTGTGATAAGACCACGAAATACAGATGTTAAAACGCCTGGAAGAAACCTACCTGCCAGCTGTGAACAAAGTCGCGACTATGACTTTGTATTTCATCAGAACAGATCTGTCCGGGAACACGAAAGCGTCTTGAGTCTGATCCCAGTTACAGTTTTTCTGGAAGACACGAAAGACGAGACATCACTTTACAGAAATAAGTTCATCTGCTGCCGTCTCTCAGAAACAGGATTAGTCTCTCATGTTCGGTCCCATCAATGATCCCCTAAAAAGAGGTTTAGTTGATGACTGGTCTGGACATGATCCAGTTCTAGGACTTTTAAACTATCTATATACAGCAGACAGTTTTAAAGTCCCACTCTGATCATATTGTTTTACACTTTTAAGTGTTCTCAGAGGTCTTTAAATTGTGTTTAGGAAGTTTTAGCCAAAATCACGTAACCTGAGTCATTTTCTTCTGCAGAGCTTCAGTATCTCATTAGTAATTCACCTCTGAGTCGTGGGCGGAGACAGCGCTGCTCTGCACACTCCTCTTCATGCTAGCTTGTAGCCTAGCATTGTTGATGTAGTAGAAGTAGCAGGTAACATAGGAGCTTTTCAGCTCTCAGACACTAATGTCTTTGTGGACACGATGAAAGTTAATACCATAATTAGCTTTCTTACGAGAATTGCAATCCACTAACACACATCTCCTCTCTACTTTTCAGAGTCTGGTCTGCATAGCGGGGCTCTGGGGGCGGAGCTTGGATTTGTGATGTAGGAAATCTCACTGTATCTGAACCTGCCGTTTGGGTCTGCTACAGATTCAGAGATTTGACTGAAGAAATACTCAGAAATAAAATTTCTCACTTAGTTTTCTCCTGATCTGTCCTGCAGCATCAGAAAAATGAAAACATGAACATGTAGACAACAAAGAAAAGTTCAACTTCGCCTGTTTTCCTTAAAGAGTCGAAGCAGAAACTGGACTTTTATCAGACTGTTGTAGCCGCAAACAGGAAACCAGTACACCTTCAATTTCAACTTTGGTTGGTGAATGTTTTGGTTTATATGTCCTCCATTTTATCATGTAAATTCTTCTGAAGGATGTTGTTCAGATATGAAACTACACTGGGTTAAAAAAGAGCAAACTTTGTGGCCAGAACTCCTGAACTTTGGGTACAGCTCCCCAAACGATGGCTGTAACTGAACAGATATCAACTCTCAGACTCACCAGTAGTTTGTTCGGGACGGTTCTGGGGTCTCGGCTGCTGGCGTACAGGCGGTAAACTTGATGAGGATCCATGTGGACCATCAGTCTTTCACAGAGGAGGTCACAGGCACTGTTTGAAGGAGCAGTGGCGAGGATGTGGGCCGAAGGTTCAGCCCTGCTGACCTGGAAACAAAGACAGAGGAGACTAACTCATCTGAGACTGAAACATATTTACTGTTTCCTTCATTAAACACGCCTGTAGGACAGATTTCTCTGTTAATTATGACACTTGAACATCATTTAGAGGTTATTTGTAAAAGGCCTTTAACAATCAGTGTAATAAACTGGATTTTCTCACAGTCCAGCATCAGTTCTAGGTTGTTATTATAAAAGGAAACATGAAGCCAGAACATGAGAGCTATCTTCCAGTTTACATGGACTAAACTTTGACTCAGCTTTGAAGACAAATCGGCTCCTTTTCCTGCAGCTGTCTCATCTTTTATTGATGAGCCGCTCGCAGCTCTTTAGACACAAATCAAAGATAAATACGGGGGTTTTTCTTACACGCCCGCAGAGGAAGAGAGTTCTGCAAAGACATGTGTCAAAAAAAAGGACATTTTTTTGGAAATATTCACTGAGCTATTGTGGAAAGAGATCTTAATGATCGTCCTTTTGTTAATACGGCAGAGAAAGGAAAGAAAAAACAGATTTTCTCTCTGTTTGATAAGCAGCACATACATGAGTCTGTTACATCAGCCCCAGTGAAAGGAACAAAGATTAAAAACAAAACAGCAAAACTAAAATAACAGGCTGGTGATGCTCGGTCCACAGCTGATCAATAATTCTGCTTCATTGAATCATATAACCGTCTCTTTCACAAACCAACCGAGAGGACCAACAGATCATTAAGAACTAACAAAGATGTTCTTCACCAAAGAGTGCGAACATGAGAGAGTGAATTATCTTAGAGTTCCTGAAAACTTGGTACCTGGTTCATGGCTTCAACCAGAGTGATTGTCTTTCCAGTTCCAGGAGGTCCGAACACGAGGTGAGGAGCAGGTTTGGACGAGCCGGCGACGATACGCTGGACTGCAGCAAACTGCTGCGGGTTGTTTTCCAGCTGACGGTTAAACATGCTGCATGGAGGGAGAGAGAGAGAGAGATCGATTATTAGTCTGTGCAAATATGAAGAAAAATCTTGAGATACAAACTCTCTGTTTATTTCTCTGTTTACAATAAGAGGATAAAATGGTCTCTGCGCAGGTTAAAGTGAAGTTTTTAGGTCGTGTGTGTTCGATGATACAACTATTTCAGTGTTTTTTCAGTGTTTTGTGAATGAATGTTTACAGACCTGAGTTTAGGCATGGGGAGGTTCGCTCCTGCTGTCAGAGACGGGAACAGCACCTCTCCCAGCTTATGTTGGACCGCCAACTCCACCGCACGATGCTGCAGCTTCAGGGTATACCTGTTGATGGTGAACTCCACGTCGAACTTCATGTTGCTGACAAACATCTGCAACAACCTGGAAGGAAAAGAGGCGCAAAGTGAATACTCGATTCTTTACCATGAACAGGGTTTTCTTCATTTAAGTATCATCTAAGTCTTTACCTCTTGGCGAAGCCCAGCTTCACACTGTCCAGCTCAACCCGGTGCACATATCCGCAGTACTGAGTGATGGGCTCCACGGTGTCCTCAGATTTGGACACCCTCAGTGCGTCTCCTCGTAGTACAGACGGTCGGTTCTCAGCGACACCAGGAACCTGTGAGAGGAGACCCACGCTTTTTTCAACTCTGCGTCTTTGTTTCCTTTCAGACATAAATCTGACATTGTAGCCTTCAGCACTGTCTGATACTGATATTGATCCAATATTGGCACAAACTTTGCATGACAAGTTTTGCACTCAGCTGCAACCTCTTTTTCTGACTTTAACGAAAAATCCTGACATCACTCCTACTCCTTGCTTCTTTGTTCGTACCTCAGTCCACACTGTTGTTGTGATCATGTGGGCTCTACATGCTGGATCTGGGCGCTGCTCGATAGAGGTGCTGGAGTGGAGTCTAAAATGGTCTGCTTGTATCGAAGTGCTGGTTTTGGAGATTTTCGATGCAGACTGATATAATCTGATATTTGTTTTTTTGCTGATATCGGACTGATATCTGATATCAATATCATATTGGGACACCCCTAATATTTACATGGGCAAAATTTCTTGATCCAATTAAAAAATTTGAGGGATCAGAAAATCTGAATCTACTGTTTATATATAAATCAAATAATCTGATCAGGACGTGATTAGAAACATTTGGACATGCGCAGAGTTTTCTGATTTCGCTAAAACAATCGCAGAAGAAGAAGAAGAGTTGTATTTACTCCTGTGCTGTCAACAAACCAACAAACACAGTAGTGTCTCACTCCATCTAATTCAGGATTTCCCCCCCGTTAAATGTTGTCACTAGATGGCGCCCTTGCGTACTTATCTTACTATTCTGTCAACAGTTGTACTGTGTGTACAGATGTGACATCATTACGCTGTTTGTACGCCTTCTTATGTTATCAGAGGAGCAGACACGGCACCTGTGGTTAGAGTGTAAATAATGAAACTTCCTGTTCTGACCTCAGTAAATAAACCAAAGGTTAAAGAGTGAAGACTAAGTCAGGTTAGAGAGTCACGATCAAAATACGTGTTTACATGGACACGTTTTGGAATAATGATCGACAGAAACCACCCCAATCGATCGAAATACAATTTCTTTCCGACTGAGCCGAACTGGATCAGAATCTTCCGATCGACATGTTTACATGACTCATTTTTATTCCGATTATTTGTGCCCATGTAAGCGCAGCTACTGAGATTATCTTCCATAAATTTATTCTGCACATCACAAAGAAGAGCTGTTTTCCTTCACTGGAGCACTAAAGAGCAGATGTTTGCTGTGAGAACTCCTTACTCTGAGGATGAGCAGCTTTTTGTCTCTCGGGTCTTGGGTCATGGTCTGATTTTTCAGGTCATACTTCCTGATGTCCACTTCCATCTGTATCTCCTCCAGGTGAAGCAACAGGTGGAAGCGCTGAGAGTATATCTTCATGGTTAAGGAGGAGTTGAGAAGATCTCTGCACATAAAAACACACATTAAAATGTGATGAGGAGGCTGAGTTCAGGTGAACTTTACTGAAAAAAGGAGATGAGGTGTTTGTAACTCGGCTGCTCTCTTACCTCACTGGTGACAATTTCTGCCGAGCAGCTGGAGAGAGGAACTCGGAGTCCTCCATCCTTTGTTTTGCCAGTTCCTTCAGGTAGAAAGGGTACTTGTAGTCTCCTAATTTCACCTTCATCTTCAGAGGGTGAACAAAAGAGCTGAAGAAAGAACAAAAACACATATATCAGACTTGTCTTTGTAATTATTGTTGGTTATGGATTGGTTGAATCCATTCATCACTATCCTCCCATCAGAAAATTCTCATTTCTGATGCAGAGCTAGAGTAACTCTGCATGGAGACAGAGGGAGGTGTGATTTATTTGTCTGTTAGATAATAAACAACCAGCCTGGTAACCAAGTCTGTGGTCATGAGCTCAGGCAGATGTAGCTTCCTCTTCCTGTCAGACCAGACACTCCAGGTCTGAGGTTGGCACCATCTACATGATCGCCCTTTCAGATCGCCCTTGAGGTGCAAAACTTGAAACGGTCTCTAGCTTCACATCTCACCACAGGCTGGAGTGAAGATAGGTTGTCTTTTATATACGGAGTTAATGGAGCGTAGATGTGCTGGAGCTTAAGTCTCAAATGTCCCCTTGAGCGCAGATCCTTTTTAAAGTTCTTATTTAACAAACTTAGAGAGAAATTAAATCACTGCAATTATATTTACATTCAATTCAAATGATTCTGTTATTACAAAAAAGGGAATCTGGTGCATAAAAGCTACCTCCTCAGATGTTTTTTTCTTTTGCAGTCTTTTTGGAAAATCCTGGTACCTGACAATTCTGTGATCTCTCAATCAGAGTCACTTCACTTCTGCCCCCAAAGCAGCAAAAACTGCGACTTAAGTGCTGTCCTCAGCTGGAAAGTCCCGCAGGGGTGGGTTTTGCAAATCGAACATGTTTGCAAATCTGTTCCACCACAATATCTAAACAGTGATCTGAGTTGGTGGAGATGTTTTGACAACGACAAATGTGTTGACTGGCGGCCTGTTTGTTTGCTGCGGGGGAGGATTCAATCAGTGCAGACAGACGCAGAAGCGGAGAAACACCAAACCAAACATGGCGAGTCCTCCAGGAGAACCCACCAGACGCGTGATCTAGAATTTGACCTGTTGAAGTTTCACAGATCCACATTTCTTTGATTATCTTGAATTGACACCTATGAAGAAATCTCAGCAGACTCTCTTGTGACGTGTCAAAACCGAACGTCTCAGGAGACTCATGACTCATGAAGCAGCTTCGTTTTTTGCAGACCTGACATCCTGTTTCATTGTGCAGCTGATCTCCTCACACCTCTTTACCACAATATCAGCTGAGAAGCAGAGGTCCAGAGAGCTTACCTCTGTTTATTTTTTCATTTACACACCTGACCCGAAAAATCTTTGTGGAGTTTTATTTTGAAAATCTGACATTTGTTAAATCACTCACATGTCAGGGGGGACGCCCTCCACCACGACAGTGTCGACAGGTTTGTATGTGACCATCTGAAATGGTTTGTAAGGAGCCACCGGTCCGAGATCCACAGCCAGTGGGGTCTTAGCTAATGCTTCCATCTCCCTCACGATGCAGAACGGTTCTTGTAGATCCGGGCAGAACTCAAAGTACATGGTGGCAGGGAAGTACCCATAGTGGCTGAGCGTGTATTGGACGATAACCTCATAGGTTTCTCCTGAGGAAGGAAGACAGAAGAAGAGAACACAGGAAATTGGCTTTGAGTGTGTTTTCTTTTCTTTAATTAAACGAGAGGACAGGAGTGTTTTTGTCTCACCGGGGCAGAGGTAGACTGGACGAGCTCTCGTCACATTCCTCTCATCCGTCAGAGTGAAACAGTGGAACTTGTGCAGGGCTGTGTAGTAGGTGAAGTTGATGAAGTCTGTGCCCTTATTCAGGATGTGGAACTTAATGGTGACCGACTCCCTCAGATTCTCCACAGTGAACTGGACCTTTTCACCACATGGAGTGGGGTCCGAAGTGATCTGAATACCTCCTTTATCCGACGTCAGCCCTTTCCTGAAATTTAAAGTGATGTCTCTTTATGATACACTAAAGCAAACAAGACCATCAGTGACTAGATGAACCTGAAAGGATAGTTGTCAGTGGTACAGCTGGAAATAAATCTGCTCATACAAGTTATTTGTGAATTCTCCGGCATAAATTCATTTATTATGAGACAGTTTAAACTCCACTTTGCAGTTTTGAAACCATACTTTTCTCTACAAATTATCTTCCTGTAATTATCCAGCCTTTGACATAAACACGAGCCTAAATTGACGTTAAATCTATTTGTATGTGCGAAGATGTTTATGCTTTTCTCTATTTTTGACAGCAAAACTTCCTCTGTCGTTATTTCAGTTCATTTACTATTTTGTGTTTCATTCCCTCTTTTTTATTGATCTTCTTTTAGTCTTTGGTTTGAAGACTGTTTTATTTAAATAAACTTTGAAGGATTTACTATTTTTATTAAATCTGATCATAGTTTCATCAGTTTAGTCTTTGGTCTAGTGTTTCCTCAGTCATCTGTTGGACAGCCTTACTTAGTGTCTATGTGTGTGTGAGTTTGTGTGTGTTTTGTGTGTTAAATGTGGGTTGAAGGGGTGGGCGGTGTTTTGTATTTTTATTTTGTTTCCCCTGACTCATTACGAAGCACTTTGTGTCTCATTTTTTTGAATGAAAAGTGCTTTATAAACAAAGTTTGATTGATTGATTGATGATTGTAAGAAATAACAATGATGATAATGAATGCTGCTCACGTTGTTTAATGAATAAAAACAAAGATGAATGTCACAACACTGGAGTAAAAAAATGATAATAGTTTTGATCCATATTCTTACAGTAACTGTATCCCATAACCTCATTATTACTCTGTGGAGTTTATTTTCAGTTCAGAAGCATAAAGAAATGTCCAAAGTTTTCCTTTTTGACTCGATGGAAAAATACTCTCCAAGTTGTGCACAGGAGTTGTATAATTCCAGGAGTGTGGGTTCACTGAGAAGATAAGGTGAAGGAGAAGGTCACTGTGATACTGAAACTATGCGAGGAGGACTGAAGCATAACCAACAGGATGAGTCCGAGTGAAAGAGTGATTTAGAAATAATGACGAAGATCTGAGAGAGCAAGAAAAAATAAAAGACTCTGTAGCCCCACAATCTGTGTGCCTGCTTGATGCATTGTTTGAGCTCCATTCTTGCAAGAATTAAATTCACTTTCATTATATGTTCGGTGTCTGCCTCTTGTCATTTCAGAAAGATTAGTCTGTATGTGTGTTACGCTCTGAGAATGAATGTAATTGGTGTCAAAGTAACGGAAAGACCCGTCTGTATGTAATCTTTCATGCATTGTAAACACTAAAGCTGCAGCAATTTGTACATTAATTCTTTGTTCACTTCCAGAAAATTAAACAGCAGCTATTTCAGTAAAATATCCAAATTAATGTTTCTTTAGAGGACATTTAAAACCTTTTAAAATGATGCTTCTGGCCTCTCAAACGTCAGAGTTTACCTCCATGTCTCGTCTGACAAGGTGATGAATTTGTTATCTTAGTGTTACAAACTTTTAGTCAAACACAATAAGACATTTGAAGATGAATTACTGAAAATAATAATGAGCATTTTCACAGTTTTGTCAATTCTAGAGTCAAATTCCCCAAATTTTACAACAGGAAACAACGGCAGAAAGATCTGTTTTTTTAGACGTCTTAGACTTTCTCAAAAACTAATTACATTAGGGCGTAAATCTGACATTACACTTTGATGAATAACTTTGACAATATTCGGTGAAGTCAGATAAAACCAGGAGGAAATTAATAACAGTGAGAGGATATTGATTAAATACAACAAATATCAGCATAAAGCAGTTTATAATTAAGGGGGAGGAGGCTGAGAAACACTAAAGTGGAACTTCGATGGAGCAGAGGATCTGATGTTTGTTTTAGGAGACAAGACTACATGCTGTTTGAGATAGAAGAAGGTGGATTAATGGTGTCATTATTGACCAAGATTATAAAAAAGGACAAATTTCTCTTTAAATTTAGTTTATAGTCTTATATTATCATCTTAAATTGAACTCGAACATTATTAACTTCCTTTTCTTTTCTCTCAGGACTCTCTCTCTCTTTCTCTCTCTCTCTTTCTCTCTCTCTCTCTTCACTCATTTCTGTGTAAACACACCACCAACGGGGATGTGGTCACTGAATCTGTACAAGTCTTCATAACACAGACGTAGTTCGGGCCAAATGAGGACAATCGTGTCTCTCTTTCCATTCCCATCTTATTGCCCAACTTTGTAAAAAGCTTGCCTTAAAATCATTTCCTTCATCCCAGTAAAAGCCTGTTAACTTTTGAGAGTGTGGAGGGGGGTTGGGGAGCATGACCTGCTTTTACAGCAGCAATAATGAATTGTTGAGTGACACTAAGAGCTAAACGTATAACCTTTAAGACTGACTTTACAAGCTTGGTAGGCTCTCGATGTTATATAACACGACTGACTCCGAAATGAGTGAAATGAGGCTCGCAGCATAAATACAGACGCCTTCAGTGAGCAAATATATGTGGTGAAAAAAGTCAAACAAACTTACCTGTTCACCTTTAACTCATTCAGGATTTTCATAGCCATCTTTTTCTTTGGGGTCAGCACAGGGTTGAGGGGGGCCGAGGGGCCAGGGTCTGGACTGTGTGGAGGCTGAGGGGCCCGGGGCCTCCTCCATTGGTCACAGTACACTCGCACCTACAAGTGGTGGTTAAAGGTGAGATCATATCGTCCCATCTTCTATATATCAGATTTGTTTCCTGACAGACAACAGGTTCATCCCACCTGAGGTTTAACATTTATGAAGACGGTCCCCTGTCTGATGTAAACTTTGTTGAATTTCACAAGAGCATAGAGAACACTGGAGAAGCTGGGCTCTTTAAAGTCTTTTCTGTGGACAAAAACACACAAGGTAAGAGTTTGGACATGAGCAGCACCTCTATAAATCTCAGGACCCGGTTTGTCACCTACCTCCGGCCCTTAAATTCACGGTAATAGATGTCTCGAAGTTCATTCTTGCTCCTGCTGTTTGATATTCTGTCTCCCAGGATTTCAATGAAGTCTAAACCGGTTTCCAGACAGTTTTTCAGCGACATGTTTACGTGTTGCAGCCCTGCAGCCCGCTGCTACTGACTGTCGACAGTTGTCAAGTGAGGAAGTTCAATAAAGACCAACTTATTTCCTGATATTTAGCTGGAGGTGTGAAGTCGAGCTGCTGGCAGGGACATTTCACATGTTACATTCACTTGCGCGACTTTTGCGTCGATTTTCAATGAGCGGAAGTCAAACTTTGCCGGAGAATCGATTCCACAGTCATGTATCACGCCAGATAAAGGAAAAATACGGTATATAGATCTGATAGTTTGCGCAGGTACACGCAAAACCCCAGCCTTAGGACGTGCTGTAACGGTTTGACATAAGGGAGCGTCTGCCAGTGTTTGACATCCAGAAAACGAAAAAATGATTGGCGGTAAAATAAAACACCTTGTACAAACGAATCACTCATATGTGAAGTCTAGCGTACACACATCTAACTCAATGTATATTAAAAATTAAAATTTTAGTTTTGTGATTATTACACTAACGATCCATGGATAAGTTGTTGTTGACACTCCCTATGCTGTTACATAATAACCAGCTACAGTCATGTGTATTGGAGGAAGGAAACTGGGACAATACCTCTGTCAGTTTTGAATACATGAGAATTAGAAATAAAAATACTTTTATTTAAGTTCACAGAAAAATATTCACAGCTGTATGTATTCTGGGGAAAAAATGAATTTGCAGGATATAATAAGCTTCAAAACCTAAGGTAAATCCCTGCTGTTATTAATCTTTTAATGCTCAGGCATCATGTGACTTTATTTATTTCTGACTAACAGTCCAAAACCTAAAGATTTCCATATTGGCTCAGAATTAAGAGTGAAAATGAGTAGATCTTAAGTCCAGAAAGAAATGCTATATGTGATGTGAAAGAGGAAAACGTACAACATCTTTGCTCAAGATCATATTTTTATTCCATGAATAATAAATGTACTTACAGTCTGTATAAAAAATATAGCAAAAGCTAAAGGCAAACAGCTGTCAGGACGACACTGATACTTTATCAGTCCAGGGGCAGTCATACTGAGGAGGGCTTATCACAGAAAATTTCTCTGGACAACACAGAGAAGCCAGGGAGCTATACGTTATGAGGGAAGACTATTTATGTTCAGTGAAAAGGAGAAGAAATATTTATGCTTTGGCATGTCCGCTAGTGAAAACCCAGCGTCCAGAGGGATGCATAAATCTTAAGACTAAAATAAAAACTTTTAATATGGTGCTGTAAAGTCTCTCTATGGTCAGTAAACATATTCAATTGCATTTAGTATTTGCCCTCTGTTCATAAAAACTTATAGAGGTAATGGAAGCTCTTAAAGAAAATCAATTATGTTACACAGAGAGGGTAGGTTAGTTGCTACAAGAAAGTCAAGGTTTGGAGGTCTCGAGTCCATTAGAAGCACTGAAGGTCGAGAAACTTTTAGAATATGTGAATAACAGGTAACAACCCAGACTTCCACAGAGTCACGAAAGGCATTATTTGTTAGAAAATTATATATGTTTGCGAATAAACGAACATTACACCACCCAATGTCATTTCAAACTGAACACACTCCGGTCTAATGCATGTTAGAAGCTCTCACTCTCTGGAACGAAACCAAAATGTCTCTTTTTTTAGAAGGACATACAGTACTTTATGTTGCATCACATGTTTGCACGAGCATCGGCGTCTCTCCTTTTTTGTTGTCTGTGTTGTGAAAGCCAACAGTGACTGTCCTCTAAGAGCCCTGCATCTCTTTGCCAATCTTGTAACTGAGGATCTTGTTCCAGTCGATCTTGGTGCGGGTGACCGGCAGCTGTCTGCGTAAGGCTTTGAAGGTGGTGTCGGACATGGTCTGATAGTTCTCGCTGATCGCCACCTGAAGGAAGACAAACACAGGAGTCAGTCAGGTACGCTTTGATTAGATACCATCTATTTTAACAGAGATGACGGCAAAGTTCTTATGAAATGTACTGCATTAATGTTCACTGAAATGGTTTTAATTTTTTCTTATTAAATGAGTCGATGTCAAACTGAAGGTACGGTGTGTGGAAAAGGGAATATTTAGCAATTTCTAGAGGTTCGATTTCAGATTAAAACACTCGCTTGTTAGAGAAGCTAAGGCGGCCTTCAAGGACAAGCAGCTCCTGTCATACATAAGTATGAACCTCCTTGTGTCAAGTTTTAACCACCAAATATTCTTCTTCTTCATCTTCAGAGCTGTGCATTTTAAACAGCCACTCACTAAAGACAAAAACCAGTTTGTTCCTGGTTTGTCTGTGTATAAACATGGAGCTGCAAGATGGTGGTGCTCTTGCACAGGCCCACTCCTCTGTGGATATAAAAAGCTCATTCAAGGTTCAGATTTAATGATATATACACTAATTTTGATGCACTTATGCACCTTATATTGAATTTCTATCGAGTCATTTTTGCTGTATTCTACACTGTACCTTTAAGATCAATACTCTCAAGAGACCTGACCCTGATAGCAGGCATATGAATGGAAATGTAGCATCTACAATATAGTACTTATGTGAACAGATTATCATATATTTTGGATATTTGCACTATTCTGATTTTGTTTTCCTCTTTTTTAAACCTGGGCTTACTTTAATACTGTGTATTTTGATTTCAGCAATATTAAAGAGGATACTTGTGATCTCAGACAGCTTCATGTGCCGATATTTTCAGGATTTTTCTCTTTATTTTTTATATCTAATAGCAGCATTGTAAACATGGCTCATTAAATATTCTTTTACAGTTAGCTTGAGTTGGACTAAGATGCATCTGGTTGTAGATGCTTAGACTGTTGACTTTTTGTCATATTTTCATGTGTATTGACTTGTAACGTACGTCTATAGCTTTGTCTCTTGGCCAGAGACCTCCAGTTAAAGAGATTTCAGTTTCAATAAGGCTTTAATAAATTTAAGTTAAAAAAAGGAAGAATAAGAGGAAAGCTTAAATCGGTTGTTGTTGTTTCCAGGGTACCTGGTAATCGTTCTCTGCATCCTCGATAATTTTCACAAACTCCTTTGCAGTCTGGGACTCACTCTGCCGAAACATACATGTGTGTTATCAGACTAAATCAACAAGTACGCATCAAAATACATAAATAATATACTTTAACAAGACCAGTCAATGATTTTCTTCTGGTTTCAAATAGAAAATCTAAAAGTTAACTACTCACAGACACAGTGAGCGATTCCTGCACATCTTTATGGCTGACCAGCTGCACATTCCCGTCCTCATAATAATGTACCTGGAAAAGACAGGAGGAATAATAATGTTGAAACGAAACCCTTAAATTAAGCTCATAATTAGGTGTTAATTCCCCGGCATACCTGAATCTTCATGACTCCAACCACCTGAGCTGTAGACTGTGAGACACTGAACTTCCACTCAGATCTGCAGCGACCGTTCCTGTAAACGGAGGAAGGAGAAGAGTGAGTCCTTACACACTTCCTTGAGTTTGTAAACTGATTCATAACATGTCTGTGGGAAGTAACATACCAGAAGTTTTTAGGCTCAAACTGATGACCCTCAATACAGGCGATAATAGTCTGCTGCCCATCGATTGTTTTCCCATAAACCTGAAGCAGATCAAACAAAAGTAAGCTGCTGATTCGACTGCTGTGATTCTGAAAACGGCAGCAGCGGTCTCAGGTTCAGATCTTACAGTGCAGACTCCACTCGGATAGTGGTCCTTGACGTAGGCCCTCAGCGCAGAATCGCAGGCGTCTCTCCATGACCTGAGGGATGACTCGCCCTCGTGCGGCTGGGGGTCGCTGGCTTCCTTTCTCAGGTGGTCAAACTTAAAGGAGACTTTGTTGTGAGGGTCAAAGAAGCGGCCGTTACCCAGGTCTCCGTGCTCTGTGATCAGGACCTACCAGAGAAATAATGTAACAGATGCAGATCAGATGGTTTCAAAGAGAAGATGAAGTAATATAAAGGTTTTTGAGACGACAGGCCTACCTGATCGTCATATCCTTCGAGTTTGGCAAGAGTGAACTGGTCCATGTTGTACTGAGCGAAGGCGCTGTAAATAAAAAAGAATATAACAGCATGACCGTACATCCAGAACATCAAGATTTTACAAATATATTCAGAAAATGAAGGAACTTTGACTTACTGGGCGGCTCCCTCTCTGAGGAGTTTATCATTGTTGAGCAGTATTCGCACATCTGTAAAGACGAGTAAATAACAGCATGAGTTAGGTGTCTCTATCCACTTTAAAAGGTTTTAAGGTGTTAAACAAGGATGAGACTCACCATTAAAGACTTCATTGAACTCTCCTGGAGGAGCATGCAGCACAAAGTTCGCTGCAATCCGGACCTACAAACAAAAATCTTATTTAATAAACTCAAATAATCATGAAATTATCTCTGACTAATCGAACCATTCTTCTTTTGTTTTTTCAAACATGTAAGTAACTTCTGCAAAAACGTGAACTCAGCCACTAGAGTGAGGCAGAGAGCAGTCAGCTAACTTTCTTGGCTGCAGGCTTCATTACTTTATTTTGGCCGCTCCTCAGATGGAAGGTTGGGTATGTCTCCCCAGGGCTTTTCTTAGCAGCCAGTTTGCAAGTGTAAGCATGTGGTGTCAAAGCTCAGAGTGCAGCAGTTCAGGCAGGTAACGCTCTGATGCAGACGCTCAATAAGAACTGCTGTTTTGCATGTTACTTAGATATTTGCAAGTGAAACCCTGCGGAAGTTTTCAGTCAGCAAAAAAGTGTGAATATTCTCCTGTGTGCGGCCTCTGGAGCTTTAACCATAATGCCAGTGTCACGATTAAGTGTATTTGTGCCAGTGATGGCGCCTGTCAGGCAGACAGGGCTTTTAGCCTGCAGGCTGCAGCTGGCGGTGACCTACAAATGGGCTGTCCGGCTGAAAGGGCAGAGGGGCATAACAATGAGTAACCCAGTTTAACTGTGATCTGAATAGTCACTCCATTCAGAGCTGGGAGAGCACTCTAAAGCTCAGCTCTGGGTTCAGCACTTTCAACTTATCTCTAACAGACACTCAGTAGGTAGTAGGAGCGTGGATGAAACATCAGACAGAGACAGCAGTGTCTCATTATCCATAACCATAATATCAATACATGAAAAAAAGAGGCCGCACAGAATAGATTTCTCTTTTAATCCTAGAACACTATCACTATGTGATTTTCATGATGTTGCATTTGTCTGAGTATCATGGGTCTCTGGGTAGCTTCAGTATTTCCTTTGACATCTTTGAAGGCATATTTGTTTCCCTGATCCAAAACCTGCTTTTTCCTACAGACACGTGTTCACAGGGTGATTTTAGTGATAGAGGGTAAAGTAGGTTTGGGTGGATTTGATAGCTGCATGTAGGGAATAAGTTCAATAGGAGTGGTCCTGGAATTTGCATGCTATCTTTATTTAGCACAGTGGTTATGAATAACTATCACAAAGTCGTGATTTTCAAGGTAATTCATGTGGTGATAAGAAATATTTGAGTCAGCTGGTCACTTATTAATATATATATATATATATTTTTTTTTTTTTAGGATTTTTTTTGTTGATGAATGCCTTATTTCAGTTATTTTGTTGCATTTTTATATGGTCCCCTCATGGCTCCTTTTTTTCCCACCTACTTGAATTTGTCATGTATTGTCCTATTTTTATATTATTTGGATGACAAGTACTTTTTCGGGTAAAAATCACCTGGCGATAGTGATAGTGTTACTACTTTTAGTGATAGTGTTCTAGAGTTAAATGTGACTCTACTTCACCACCCTTAGTGCCATCCGTACTGACATTAATCCTGCACTTAAAGGTTTTTTGTGATCCTGCATTGATCAGATTTTGTGATGTAGTATTATCAGATTATCTTGCAATTCAGGACTACAGTATCGTGAAAATACATCAGGCTAGGGTCATATCACATCAGATCCTGAGTCACCCTGTGGTCCCCACCCCTGAGTAAAGACAAGAATCCAGTCCTTTTACAACACCCCACTTCTATTTAAATCTGCAGAGATAATGGCTGAGAGGTGGAAGCTCTTGGCCACACCATCAGGAATGCAAAGCAGTATTTTACAACATGTAGCAGCATGAAGCAGAGGAGGAACACAGGCCACTGCAAGTCCACATATCTCTGCAGACAGACAGACAGAGACTAAATATGTCCTCAGAGCCTGCAGCTACACTCACTAAAACCATGTCCTGGTAAATACATATTACTTCGAGCAACACTTCCAGCTTCATGTAACAGAAACATGTGAAGTCACCAGTATTTAAACACAGGGACTGGGTGTGAGTGGTGTTATGCTGCACTGTCATTTTCTCTTACTGTAAATGCAGGAAGTAGCTCCACTTCCTTTCATGCAGCTTTCGCTAACATTCATCAATCATTCCTAAACTCATATTCAGGATAAATAAGACATTCAGCTCAACTGTACGCATGTGAAATGTTTCAATAGTCTGCGCTAACAAGTCTTTATTAGCTTACAAAGATTATTTATTATTTCACAGGAACAAAATGAGAAAAACTCTCAGCTGTCAAATACAACACTGGCTTAGCTAGCTCCACCGCAGCAGACTCCAACACGGTCCGCTTCATTCAGGCTTTAACAAAAACAAGAAACGAAACGAGAGCAGGGATACTTCAACAAACAGCTACAATATATATAGAGAGAGTAACAGAATCTATTTGAAATGTTTTACCTTTTCTTCATCGCTGATCTCCTCGAAGTCTGCCATCTTGGCTCTATGAAGTGTTAACAAAGCGGCGGTCTGGGTTGCCAGGTTGGTGTGACTCCTCCCAGCATTAAACCGCGGATTATCTGGAAAACTCCAACTCTGCTGCTGTCTATGGAGGGTGACTGAGAACTGAGAATGATGTTGTTACTGTCCTGAAGGTACAAACAAAAAGCGAGAAAAAAGGGGATAGATTCAGAGACTCCTTGTGGGCTGAAGACCAAATAAATGTTCACGTTTTGTAAATACTTCCTTTTGTTTTAATCGATTCTCTGATGTTGTTATAATAAAATCTGTTCAGATAATTATCTTAAACATTAATTCCCAAGACAAAAATCAAGAAGTATTGATCTCTATATCTATACCACTAACAAACTGACGCTGACGATATCCAAACCTGGCAACCCCTGTGCGTTCAAATTAAAGGAGAAAAAACTACTTATTTTTGCAATGGGCAACTTTTCAGTTACAGATAAATGATCGTGTACATAAACTGTAGTAGTAGCATATTGTGTGATTAGACCTATTGGAATACTCCCCCTTAGTTTAATAGCACTGCTTTGTCAATATCAGCCTACATTTTGTTAAAGTAAAAATGGTGCAGTTAACGACTGCGGTCAAACCAGCGGACACTAAAATTAGCGTACCTGCGTATTCTAGCCTGTATGGTAAATGCAATCAAACTATCCAGAACGAGTGAGCAGGAACCATAGACTGTATATAGAATGGACGTCATCTGCCTCCTCGCTGGGTGAAGCCACCAGGAGAACAGCACCCTCTGGTGACGGGCTGCAGTATAGGTCATAAATCCCGCCTCCTCCAGCAATTCCCAAGTTATTAGGGGGTTCATGTTTTCTATGATTGACACTTGATACAGCCTATGAGCATACAAAGATTGTATAGCTCATCCGGGGATACACTGTTTAAGCTGAGCGTCATCACAGCGACTCTCCCGCCGAATGCCTACAACGCTACTGCGCAATGCTGGTTTCAGGAAATGGAGAAAAACGTGGAATTACTGAGAGCTTTTAGGCTTCAAATCCGTATACTTGCAGAAGGTGGAACTAATTTGTCCAGAGTTTATACAGTCTATGGCAGGCACCAATAGGACTTACGGTTTTCAAAATAAGATGCTAGAAACAGTAATGAAGAATTTCTGACATAAAATTGTCATGACTATAGACATGTTTGACCCGGTAATTTCTGGCAATGCTTTATATACTTGAGTGATTTGATGATATGTGATATGATTGACTTGATGTAGTGATCCGAACTTTGAAAAATGTCTCATTTTACCCCAATCTCCCCTATATACGATGGCTCAGCCCCATAGAGACAACATTCCGGTAGGGGGAGCTGTTTACTTTGTGAATACACTAATTGTCTATAGAAGAAGAAGAACCGCTCCTGCTTCGGCTGCCGTAAATGGAGTAAAATCGACGTAAAAAACAAACGACGAAGACGTTCATTGTGAGAACAGACGGAGCCGCAGCGAACTGTCCGTGTCCTGAAATATCCAGAACCGGAGATAAAACTGTGAGAGGAGGTTGGTAATGAGCTGCAGTGTTGTGTAAGGTATAACAATAAACGAAAAGTTGTCGCATTTTTTCATAATTTGTCGTTGTGTTCTGCAACGATAGCCGAACCGTTTCAATGTAGCAGCTACGAAGCTAACAGACGACGTCGAGCTAACGCCAACCACACCAACACTGTGCTTAAATATACACTTATACGAAGCTGAGTTGTATTTACGAGAGAACTGTGTGTTTTTATATCTGTATTTAGAATTTAAAGACAAATTTGACCCGGTATGTGAACATTCAGGTGCTCTAACGGTGATAACGTTACGCCATTTTCCTGCCTCGAGAACAACATACCGCTCGTGGGTCCATGCGCTGTAAACACAAAACCTTCTGATTTTATTGTGTTTTAAGAGAAAATTAATAAGTTAATAACATCGAGGAATATCTAATCCACGTTTGGGTATTTTGTACTCTTAATGTACGTCGAAATGGACAGAAGTAAACCGACGTCTTCGTTTAAACGTGAATCAAACGTCTGTGATTTCACCACTAAAACTGCACTGTAATATAAAGTAGTTTAATTTTCATTCCAAACACTGACTTTCTAACGTAACCAGTGAGGTTTTGCTCATATTTTCAGGTACCAATGAGGGTCATCAATCAACTTTAGTCGTTAAGTTTTATAGCCGAAGTATTAACGCATGCGCAGTTTTTACTTCGCGTCTGTGGCTTGAATGAAAATTAAAGATAATATGGAGACCTGGAATGTAACGATATGAAAATTTAACATCACAATTATTGTGACCAAAATTATCACGGTTATCAATAATATCAATGTATTCTTAAAAAAATATGCTCAAAATGTTTAAAAAGTACTTAAACATGCTCTGAAATAATTTAACAAAGTTTAATTCTGAAAAAACAATCAGAATAATACGCAGAATGAACTTTTCCTTAACCTTAAATAACAGAGGAACGATAAACACGGTTTTAACAGTAATTAATATTTGAAACGGTAGTACGAACCGTCAGACATTTTACCGCGGTTTATCATTTTACTGGTAATCGTTTCATCCCTAGTGGAGACTTCTTTTTATCACAACACTTAAACAGCATGCGTTGAAAGTAAGCCCACACACGGGATTACAACTACTTACAGAAAATAACTTTGAACTGTTTCCATCACAGCTGTGATTTCTGGACTTAACTTACCTAAAAAATAATGAATTTATTCAAATAAGATAAACTGTTTCCAGACACTTGGATTTCATATTTAATTTCACTTCAACCTATTTCTGTTCAAACATCAGGAGACTACCTGAAAAGTAACTACAACAATGTTTAATGTATATTAGAGCTACCTCACTACCTGAATCTGCACTGGACTGCAATTTACTACTTCAACCACTACTAAGCTTGTTCATTTTTTCCTTTCAACCTTCTTTTCAGATACCGTGGAGTTTGCGTAGTATGTGGACATAAAGTCAGAGTCATCCAGGTTCAAGTTAAGGTATGTAAGAGTTTTGCTCTTCCCAAAATCTCATGTGTATTGCATTCAGCTATGACTAAATAACACAAAATCCTCTACATTTACACGTCAATCACTAAGATATGTGTGTTTGTATTGATGAATTCTACAGAGGTTCTTTCTTTACATCAGTTTGTTTTTTTGTGCCACCTCTGAAACATGAGGACATTTTTCTGCTGGGCATTTTACAAATATTGATTTTTCTGAAGGAAAGGACCTTAAATTTGTCCGTTCTCAAGCTGAGCACTAGGAAATCGATTTCAGCGGTGCGAATTTCGCCGATTTCTTGCGCTATTTTAAGAGAAGAAGATGATTTGAACAAAAACTTCATCTGGGCGTTGTGATTTTGGCTCAGCTCTGCTCTACAGACTTCTGAATGTCGATTTCCAAATACTTTAAAAATATTTATTTTCTGCACTGAGGCGCTGAACCGTTTCACACAGAGAAAAGATTGATGTTGCGGTCCTTAACATATGAGACAAGATATTTCGATGTCTGTCTCGGGGATTGCTAAAATATGATTGATGGAGAGTCAATTCAAAATGTGGGGACATCATGACATTACACCTTCTCACGCTCCACCGTTGCGGCTGTGCGAATTTCTCACAACAACCGCGGTTCAATTTTCCAATTTCTTTTCCACCAAATGCTCGGAGGTTCATTTTGCATATTGGAAAGTGTGATCTTGGTGTCGTCTAACCATATTTTATGAATTTTCTTACGCACAAAACCTTAAAAATGTTGTTTTTACTTCTCTGGTAGAAGCACTCAAATGTTGACATGTTTTTCATCATGGAAATGATCGACACAATCCTTTATTTGGTCTAGTTCCTCCATACATAGAAAAATATATAGCGGGAATATATCCTGCTGAATTTCCAGTGATAATCCAAACACTGTGGATTATCACTGGAAATCTCAGTCTGAGGATCCAGGGTTGAGATAGAGAGATTTGATGTATTGGTCCCCTTGGGGAAATTCATCTTTACTGACTGTACGTTATAGGAAGGACAACGACATTGCACATTACAAACAGTAAGGACAGACAAAAATGACAATAGTTAATCAAAATGATTTATTGATTCTTGAGCTCTTTAAGCAGCTATTCCCGTGTTTTCAGGTACACTGACAACAATTTCTTTGGCTGAGTGGGATTTTTTCTTGAGGTCAGACACCGATTTATTAACTGTATTTGACAGTTAATGCAAACATTTTTTGTCTAATGTCAGACATTCACTGTTCTAGACCTACATAATTAGAGTGTGAAACCCTTTATTCAAGCAACCAAGAGTATTACAGGGAAAACTGATCAGCAATACCTTCAATATCCTCTTCTCATCCAGGCTTAATGAAACCAGTCTCATATAAACGAGTCCTCTGTGGGCTCTTAAGCGTTTCGGTATCGGACATAAAATTCATCTTCCTGACAGTCTGTTATTTTTCTTCATTTTTAGTATATTTGTGAGTGTCTGTGTTACAATCGTTCTGAAAAATTTCGCCCAAGAGCGTCACTCCCCTGGATCAGCTAAATTTGAGAGGACCGCTCGGTTACTGATCATGGCTGAACAGGCTGACAATCAGCCGCTCGGTCAGTGCACCTCCACATTTCAGCACAGACTTAGATTTTAATCTGTGATGCCCACACACCAAAATGACCGGGAACTTAAATGTGTTTTACTTTAAAATCAAGGATTTGGAGGAATTTCGGACGTAAAGAGCGCTATTTTATCCAGTATGAATATCTTCTACATTTCAAAGCTAATTTTCTGCAGCATCCCTACTTTCTGACCTTTTGTTTGACTTACATGTGCATTTTCCTAAAAAATTTTTATCCTCCCAAGGAATTTCATCTCTTCTCTTAACTCACTGACATTTTTCAGGATCGTGGACAGCGATTTACAGACACTTATTCGAAAAACACACCGATCTTTTCGAAGCATTTAAGGCGAACGAAGAAAGAAACGAGTTTACCTTTGGGATCCAGTCATGTCTCGCCGACGAAGCCACAGCCCCCCTCCAGGGCGTTACTCACGCTCCTGCAGCAGTAACGATCCCAGAGATTTGGAGAGAAGGATTTTTGTTGGGAATTTGCCGACCTCCGACATGCAAAAAAAGGATCTGGAAGAACTGTTCAGCCCATACGGGAAGGTAGTCGGTCAGTAAACGAGCACACCAAACAAACTGTCGATTTTGTTTCATGACAATAACTTGAGTCAAGATGGTGTAAATGTCACAAAAGTTTTCAAAGTGAAGCTAAGTCAGTCTGAGTGATGTCTTCTCATGAAATTGAAGCATGTAAGCACTATTTAATAATCATTTCTCAAAGTAGGTTCAACCCAGAGTCTCATTTTTCTCTGTTTGTGCAACTCAAAATGTTCCTCTTCCAGGCGTGTCCCTTTTTCGTGGGTTTGGATTTGTACAATTTGAACACATTGAGGAAGCCGAAGCTGCAAAGGCGGCCCAAAAGGGTCGAATATATAAAAGTTATAAAATAGGTAAGCCTTAACTGCAGTGGTTGTGATTGTCTGGCTAGGAGGATAGTTTAAGAACTTAACCTGAAGATAATCTGGACATAAAAATGTCCTAAAAAAAAAAAAAAAAAAAATCTAAAGTAAACTGTTTTAAGACGTTTTACTCTCTCTTTATCTGCAGCGGAAGTTCATGTATCTCAGTTTGAGTTGTATTCTTTATTTGTTTTTGTTAAAATTAAGTCCTGGCCTAAAATGAACGTGTCACTCGGATGACTTCATACTTCATATATCCAGTGTTTTATCCACTGTTAAAGACTTTGTCATCGAAATGAACATTAGTCTAGTACTCCTGATGTTTTTGTCCGTTTCTCTTTGTAGACCTGTTACCTTATTTGGCTTACAACGCAAATAAAACTTTGCAATCTGATCTCTGGCAAAGCCTGACTATTTGAACCGTACGTGTGTGGGAATTTTCTTTAACGCTTGTTTTGGTGTGTTGCTTAAGTGGGCCACTTTTGCTTTTGGGTGTTCCTGAAAGCCAGATTTCAAGCTTGCTATAACGAAAACCTGTCCGAGCTAAGCCATGTAGCCAATTTTGAAGCGGAAGAAAGAATTTCTTCATCTCAGACTCGATTTGACAGATTTGGCAACTTGATTCTCCTCCAGTTTGGATTTTCGTCTCGGATATCGGAGTTACTTTCATTTCCTGCTCAGTTTCATTTGGATCGTGGAATTGTTTTCGCGGCCTCCATTCTGCGTTTACGCATAACCTGATTTTACGTTCATGTCACTGTTATGTTCAACGTTTGGATTGATTTATTTTCAGATGTAAATATGGCAGTGGAGCGACGGCAAGCTAAACCTCAATCCCAGCAGAGCCCCCCACGAAGGTAAAGTAACACGAAATAGGTGTGAAGAACTACCCTCGCCTCTGTGATGCTGGTAAAAAAAAAAAAAAGATGGATAAAATGATGTAAAGACGTACAACTGTGTCCTCGAATATCGCCTCTGTTACTGTTGGAGTAGTGGATGGAAGCTGCCGAGTTTGAAAGCCTGGTTTATACTTGTATGTTGAATCAATGCTGTTTCAGATGCTGGATTTGTGTTCCCCTGAACCCCTGCAGCCCATCGATGGTTCTCTCAGATTCACTCACAACGGCGTCTCTTGAACAAACGGAGAATGTAGCAGGATGGGAACTGTGGACGTGACAGTCGTAGAAATCATACTGCTGTCAGGGGTTCAGGCAGAGTGATGTGGACGCTCACACTCACAAGTATTTAGTGCTAATGGTGGTTTTGGCGACTGCTTTGTGTATTCAGCACAGAAGTAAAAACCAGGCTTTTGATGGCTTTGTTATCGTGATTAGGAAATCTATTTTATCACCAATTAACAAATCTAGATCTGCTGAAATAAAGAGAAGAGCCATGATTTAGAGTGTCTTTGTCTCAAAGGTTCTTGCTTCCTGGCATTTCAGTGCTTCCGAATTGCGAGTGATGTCCGACGTTGAATCTCAAAGCATCAAGCGACTCTGATGCTGAAGAAACGCTAGTCCTCTGTTGATCAAACAGGTCCATGTCCTCAAATCACAGTTTTCTACATGAAAACTGAGTTAAGCTCAAACTAAAGTGAGAATGGGTTTGGAGAAACCTCGTAAATTCTGGCGAATCGGATTCCAAACTTTTATATTCGTTTGAAAGAATTTCCACCCAAAAGTTAAATTTCTCATACCTGCACTGTTGGTCGACGACTCTCTTCTAATCCAATGTCATTTGATGGTGAATCGATAACTTTCTTCGACTGCAACCACCTGAAGGAACCAAGAGTTGGATGAAAACAGTACAAGTTACTAATCCCACTTCAGTTATTTAAAGAGTGAGATTAATAATTAATCTACATCTGTCTGTCGTTGTATCTCGGTCAAAGCAAACACGCTCTCTCTGGGCGTTTTCCGTCCGACTTTTTGCACCATGGGTAAGAAGGTTCACGTAAAAATAAAATAATATTTCGTACATGAATCGAGCGCAGGTTGAAAAGGCTTTAACGGTTCCTTACTTGTGCACTTCAAAATGGAATTTATCGTCAGTCGACCTCAAATGGTCGACGTCTCCGTCCTGAACACTGAACACCAAGCGTTTTCAGAAGACCGTACACAAAGAAACCGTAACGGATCGTCTCTTGGATCGTTGTTTCCTCTTGCATCCGTAATCGCTCCTTTTGGTTGTAGTCGTGATTTTTTTCAATAATGAATGCAGATTAATCTACATCGCCCATCGTCCTGTTGTAGTATTTCATAGACAGTCTAAGCTTTGAACTTTCTTTGACTAATTGATGATTTCCTCACAGGGCCCCGTACAGCAGCTACGGGGATGGCAAAGAACCCCGACCTCGCTCACGCTCACCCGTTTATGGGCGTGAAGGACGCGACAGCCGAGATGGGCGCGATTCACGTGATGGACGGGATTCACGTGAGCCTCGGGACAGCCGTGAAGGGAGGGATTCAGGAAGGGACACTGGGAGGGATCCGGGCAGGGATCCGGGCAGAGACCCAGGCAGGGATCCGGGCAGGGATCCGGGCAGAGACCCAGGCAGGGATCCAGGCAGGGACCTAGGCAGAGAACCGAGACCAAGCAGCCATTCTCGTGACAATGACTACCGATACCGCAGCTCAGAGAGCCGAGACAAAGACCCCCGAGAGCCTGCGTACAGGTAACTACTAACACTCAGTGAATAATCTCGATGCCCAGAGAAAGTGATAAGATAATTGTCTGAACTGGATCTATTCTTCTGCAGTAGAGACGACTACGACCGTTATTACCGGAGTGGCAGCGGGGCAGATGATTATTACCGGAGGAAGGAGGAATCCTACAGGGATCCTTACAGAGATCCCTGGAATGGACGCCGTGAACCAGAAGGTATGCTAACTCGGCAACCCACTTCTACTGGTCTACCAGTTTAACCACATTATTCAAACAAATGGATTAAATCCAGACAAACAGTGCACATATTGATCTTATTTCACTGTCCTTACAGTAGATGATCGTGCTCGACCAGAAGAACGCCGGCGTAATGAGTTGTATCGCCAGTACTATGAAGAACTGCAGAGGCGCTACGACTCTGACCGCCCTGTGGACTGCTCTGTGATCGTCGTCAACAAAGCACAAAAGTAAGTCCACTCTCTGGTCTTTACATGAATCAAGAGATGAAGATACGTCTGTACATACTCGGACAGTACACGGCATGTTTTTATTTCATACCTCTCCTGTGTTTGTGTGTCTGCGTGTGTGTGTGTGTGTTCGCCTGTGTGTATTTCTGCTTTGAAAACAACTGTAGGGAGTATGCAGAGACGGTCGGGCGCAAAGTCCGTGATCTCGGCATGGTGGTGGATTTGATTTTCCTCAACACGGAGGTGTCACTCACCCAGGCACTGGAAGATGTTGGCCGAGCACGCACCCCGTTCGCCATCATCATTACCCAGCAGCACCAGGTCCACCGATCTTGCACTGTCAACATCTTGTTTGGCACACCTCAAGGTAATAAAGGGCGATAATATCCATCTGCTGGAGTCCCTCTGAAATAGACAAAGTGTTTCAAATATGGAGCTCTGTGTGGTTCAAACTCTGAGATCTGTTGTGTTTTTGTTTTTGTAGAGCATCGTAACATGCCAATGCAGGACGCTATGATGCTGGTTGCCCACAACTACGATGCCTACAAAGTTGAAAACCGGGAAAAGGAGCGTGAGGAGATTGCCAGAAAGGCTGCCAAGATGGCAGACGATGTGTTGCTAAGGGAGGCAGACAGAGAAAGTCATCCAATTTCTGTGCTCACCTCCATCACACTGCTCTCTGAGAACAGGTATCTAAATTTACACCTCCAGCTTTTCCTTCTATCGCTGTTTATGCAAGTTTTAAAACTTGAATTTTCAGTATTTTTGCCTTTGGTGTTTCACCTTTTGTCCTGTGTTACTGGGTAGATTTGTGACCCCCGAAGAACTGGACGGTCTTATTGCATACCTGAAGGATAAAAGAGCCCGGCTGCTCCGAACTACTGCGGACCCTCTCGCAGGTAAGAAGAGGGATTGTCCAAATCCAGGATCAGTCCATTATTTAACACTAAGCTACACAAACATTTGAGCGGTAAACACTGGCTGCAGTGACTCCTCCTCATATCCAAACTGATCCTGAAGAGATGTTTGCCCAGGGGGGTTTCAGAGGTGGTTATATGCAAAAACATCCTGCAGTGAGACTCATCTTTAATTTCTGCTGAGACTGGAAAGATGGAGTTTTTTTTCCCTCTGGTGACGGTGGGACTTTCACTTGTGAAAAAGCTCTGTCGACTCTATGAAGTTAGCACTGAAACTGAGAGACCCTCTTAATTTGTCTAAGCCTGGTCTAACACTACAGTTCTAGGGCAGACCCAGGACCCAGTTTGCCAACCCGCAGTGATTAGGAGAGCTTAAGCCTGATTTGGGGCTTCTTGAGAGTGATTATTCCTCAAATAATCCCAGAGCGTGTGGTGTCAGCATGAATATTTCATTTCTCTGATCTGAGCCAAAGCCTCCTCTTAAAACAGAAAATATTAGACATGTTAAATATCGATGATTCCAGGTTGTACTGATGCAAAGAAAAGGTGTTTGTGAGAACTTGTTAGTATGTGGCTTAGCAGTCTTAGAAAGTTGTCTAAGTGGATTGTAATGTTAAAAGTCAGATGTGTGTGTAACCTCTAATGATTTTAAAATTGATTAAAGATGCCCAGCTCTGATTACTGAAGCCTCTTTGAAGCTAAACTCATAATTTTATTTTAATGTTGAATTTAAACACTGAATAATGTCTGAATTTAACTCTGTAATAATGTCAAAGTTTTGATGAGGAGAGTCAGACTTTAAAAAAACTATTTGTGCATCTCTGAGCATGAACAGAAGTATAATTGTGTATTTCTCCGTAAACTATAATGAAGTTTTTTTGAAGACCTGACATTTGTAATCCACTCTGTCATTCTACAGCTTCTGGCCACGTTGCAGCTCCCCCAGCAGTTCACCATGACATTCCACCTCCCTCTGCAGTCCTGGCTCCTGCGTCCCATTCTGCCCTCGCCCCCCAGCAGACCAGCCACCTCGGCCTCCCAGCTGCTGCGACAGTCTCTGCTAACCCCAACCATCAGCAGGAGCTGCAGGCGAAGATCCTCAGCCTGTTCAACAGTGGCTCCGGAGCGGCAGCAGCTCCAAGCTCCACTCCTCAGGCAGCAGCTTACGGCTCCCTCGGGCCGCCTCCTTCCCAGAACCAGCCGCCCCGCCCTGCCATGACTGGCCCTCCTCCATCTGCAAGTCAGGGTTACGGCGCTCCACCGGGCCGCATGCCGGTTGCACAAGGCGGTCAGAGACCCCCGAGCACTGCTTCAGGAATCAATTTTGACAACCCAAGTGTACAGAAAGCACTTGACACCCTCATTCAAAGTGGACCGTCTCTCAATCATCTGGTGGGCGCTACTGCCCCGCCACAGCAGCAGCCTCAAGGTCCCAGACCGGCACCCAACATGAGCCAGGCCCCGCCTATGTCTATGTATCCCCGACATTATTGAAGGGTTGTGTGAGTTAATGATGTTCTGTAAGGTCCACCTCCCCCTCTTCCCCTCACAAGTAGATGCCCCACCAGTTTTCTGTGCAGTGAGTTTACCTGCTGTGTAAAGTTAGACTTTAGGAATGTTTGTAAAAGCTTTTAATTTTTTCTTTTACTCTGGATGTTCTTCTTGGTTAAATTTAATGACCAGTTCAGACTAACTCATGGTCTGTATTTTTTTCCATTATGAAATAAAATATAATTCTCCAGTCTTCTTCTATGTGAGATCAACTATAACGTGTGTGAACTACAGTTAATTTTGATTTTTGAAAGAGCCCGAAATTCTTTTCCAACCATGAACAGTTGTTTGTTTTATAGTTTTGCACAGTGTCCTTTTTTAATTTGTAACTTTTCATTGTCATAACGAGACGTAATTAAAAACTCCAGACACAGTTTCTGTAATAAAATGGTATTGGTTTATTGCATTTTGTGCTGATAAATCTATAAAATGAAACAGGAATCGCCGGAAGCCATGGAGATATGAGCATTTACAACATAGGATAAAACTACTTTTTTCCTCATTTTAATGAACCATGAAACACAGTAGAAAACAATACTTTTTTTTTATTTTAGAATATAACTTACATTGACAGAAAAGAAACACGTCCACACCAACTTTTATCATAGTATACCATGATATTTTTATCGGTCTAAACTGTTTTTTTTTATTTGACAAACTATTTTGTTTTTTGAGTTTTTTAAAGTTTTTTGACAAAATAAATTGTTGTCATACTATACTATGACATTTTTACCATACTGTACTTGACATCTTTAGACAAACTTAACTATGACAGTTTTTCATACTAAAGTTTGAAATTTTCTATCATACTATACTTTGACATTTTCAACATACTATTCTATTACATTTAAATCTAACTTAACCATGACAGTTTTTTATACTAAAATTTGAAATGTCATGTCATACTATTCTATGACATATTTTTTACATACTATTTTATGACATTTTAATCATACAATCCTATTACATTTTTATCATACTATACTATGACATCTCTAGCATACTATACTTTGACTTTTATTATAGTAAACTATGACATTTTTATCTTGGGTTCTATGATAATTTTAAAATACTATATATTGACATACTTTTAACATACTATACTTTGACATCTTTATCATACTACACTTTGACATATTTTTAACAAACTACTATGAAATTTTTTTCATAGGATACAATGACATTTTTTAAATACTATACAATGACATTTTCATTATAGTCTAGTATGACATAGATTTTAAGATACTATACTAAGACTTTTTTATCATAGTAAACTGACATTTTTATCTTGGGTACTGTGACAATTTTATCATAATATACTTTGACATACTTTTTACAGACTGTACTGTGACATTTGGATCATACTCTACAATGACATTTTTAACAAACTATAGTATGACATTTTTATCAAACAATACTATGACATTTTTATCATAGGGTACGATGACATATTTTTATCATAGGATTCTATTATAAATTTTTTAAATACTTTTCTATGACATTTTCATCATACTTAGACATAAGACATATTTTTAACATACTATACTATAACATTTTTATCATGCAATACTATTACATTTTAAACTAACTTAACTCAGACATTTTTTCATACTAAAATTTGAAATTTTATATCATATTATACTTTGACATTTTAAACATACTATACTTTGACATCTTTGAACAAACTGAACTATGATTTTTTTTTCATACTCAAATTTGAACATTTTATCATACTATACTTTGATAGTTTTTATCATGTTTTAAAAATTTTTACAGTAAAACTTTAAATTTTTATTATAGGTTACTATGACATATTTTTAACATACTATACTATAACATTTTTATCAAAGGATACTATAACATATTTTTTTAAATACTGCACTACGGCATTTTCATTATACTTCACTATGACATGTATTTTTTGAACATACTATACTATGTACAATTTATCACAGGATACTATGACATTTTTATCTATAGGTTCTATATCAATTTTTTTCATACTATAATTTGACATACTTTTAACATACTATACTATGACATTTTTATCATTATATACTTTGACAATTTTACCATAGGATACTATGACATTTGAATCATACTATACTATGACATCTTCATGATACTATACTATGACGTATTTTTAACAAACTATACTATGATATTTTCATCATAGGATACTATGACATTTTTATCTTGGGTTTTATGACAATTTTATCATACTATATCTTGACATACTTTTAACATACTATACTATGTACTTTTTTATCACACTGTACTATGACATTGTAAAGTTTCTAAACTTTGACATTTTTTTCATACTTAAATTTAAAATGTTTATCATAGTATACATTGACATTTTTACCACACTGTACTATAATATTTTTTTTATCTTACTAATCCATAATATTTTTGTTATACTTTACCTTGATATATTTATCATACTATACTATGACTTTTTTATATTAAAAATTGAAATTTATTAAACAATACTATGACATTTTTGCCATAGTATACTATGACATTTTTACCATAGCATACTGTAACATCTTTTAACAAAATAAAATTTGAACATTTTATCATACTATACTTAAATATTTTAATCATAATATGCTATAACTTTTTCCAAACTAAAACTTAAAATTTTTATCGTAGGATACTATGACATTTTATCGTACTATACTATGATATATTTATTTCACTTAACTTTGACATATTTTTAACATACTATACTGTGACATTTTTATCATACTATATCACGATAATTTTATTATAGGATACTATCATACGATTCTATGATACTTTTGTCTTATTTTCCTATTATTTTTTCAGACAAAATTTTAATTTTTTCATCACAGTATACAATGACATTTTTAGCATACTATTCTATGATATATTTATTCCACTAAACTTCAACATTTTTTTTCATAATAAAATCTGTACATTTCAACATACTATACTATGACATTTTTTATCATTGGATCCTTTTTTTTCTTCATCCTAAAATGGGAAATTTTTATCATTCTATATGATGACATTATTAACATACTATACAATGATATTTCTATCATACTATACTATGACTTCTTTCATATTCAAATTTGAAACTTTATCATACTATACTATAATATTTTTAACACACTGAACTATGACATTTTTGCCATTATAAAATTGGAAATTTTTATCACACTATACTATTACTTTTTTTCACACTCAAGTTTGAAATTTTTATCATACTATACTCATCATACTATAGCTTCAGCTCCTGCAGCAGTTCACCATGACATTCCACCTCCCTCTGCAGTCCTGGCTCCTGCGTCCCATTCTGCCCTCGCCCCCCAGCAGACCAGCCACCTCGGCCTTCCAGCTGCTACGACCGTCTCTGCTAACCCCAACCATCAGCAGGAGCTGCAGGCGAAGATCCTCAGCCTGTTCAACTCCAACCTCCACCTCAGGCAGCAGCTCACGCCTCCCTCGGGCCGAGCCGCCCCGCCCTGTCATGACTGGATTTTTGATTTTTGAAGGAGCCCTTATTTCTTTCCAAACCATGAACAGAGTGTCCTTTTTTTAATGTGTAACTTTTCATTGTCATAACGAGACATGATTAAAAACTCCAGACACAGTTTCTGTAATAAAATGGTATTGGTTTATTGCATTTTGTGCTGACAAATCTATAAAATGGAACGGGTATCGCCAGAAGCCATAGAGATATAAGCATTTGAAATGTAAGATAAAACTACTTTTTCCTCTTTTTAATGTACCATGAAACACAATAGAGAATAATACATGTTTTTTTATTTTAGAATATTGAACTTACACTGACACAAAAGAAACACCTCCACACTAACTGTATTTGATTTATTTACATGTAGCCCCCTCCCACCCCCGCCCCCAGCTGTTACAAGTGCACATGTACACACATACACACTCCCACAGAACTGAAAGAAACACACTACGGCTTTACCTTAAGACTAGGTACAGTTTCAAGGAAGAGTAATGAACAGATCTGAATGAAAAAACAGTTTTTAAAGTACTGAAATCTGATACAGGTGTGTCTTTGTGTGTATGCTGTATATATATCATCAATATCTACATCCATTACACATTTCAAGCATCCATACAAAATGTATCCCACAACTCCAGTGAATTAAAAACAAACAGACAGGTGGAGCGGATTGAATTTTAAGGGGCCTTTAAAAAGTAGTTTTCTTAATCGGAGCCAGTAACTTCCTTCAATCTCTTTCGGTTACCTAGCAACGGTATAAAATATAACTGAGGCAGATCAGCCAAACGCTATTTTTCAAACTCCAGTTCTCCAGAATGAATAATAGAGATAAAAACAAGCTCGACTTGGTAGGTAGATTTCGTGGCGTTTTCACAAAGTTTGGCAAAGTCTTCGCTCTTTTTGTGCAAAGTCAGTTTAAAAAGAAAAAAAAAAAAAACACTCGACAACAGGTGTTGACTGAAAGAGGGCAGATGTAAAACAGACACACTCCAAATACTTTGGCACTCACTGTTTTTCTTTGTTTCAAACCACATTTCCAATCTTTGAAACAACGAACAGTTTGGACTTGTCTGTGTCTAATTCACTGGAGCACACATTTGCACACTATCCTATTTGTAGTTAACTGAAATAGACTTTGGTACTCAGTTTATCTGCAGATAATATTTGACACAATGAGAGGACCTTTTCAACAAATCCACCATAAAAATAGATTCTCGTACTATCAGAATAATATTCATCTTGTATCTAATGATTGGCCAGTCCTAAGGAAAGAGAAATAAAATCATACTACTAAAAAAAAAAAGATCTAACTGATATAAACAAAATACTTTTATACCACAAACACCCAATATATTTTCAATACACCTTGTTCAGGGTAGTTGCATGCATGCACTGAGTTACACAACATAACTGGGATCAGGCTCTGCTTGAATTGCACGAGTAGTCACTTGGGTTCTTCCTATCTGACTCCCAGAGAGACAGTCTATGTGTCGTCAATCAGGGTTCGGTCTTATCGCAGCCACAGCCCTCTCTGCCTTCATCTGGGTTTTTTGTTTTGTTTTCTCTGAACAGGACAGCCTCCTCAACCCGGTAACAGATGTGTTTCAGAGCCCTTAATATCCACTTAAGGATGGAGACTGGGGAATGATCACCGGCAGGTTTGTCTCATGCTACAGTTGTGCAGGCGAAGGATCTGATCTGAACTGTCGATCAGTGTCGAGGGTTCGGGTAAGGAAAGGGGATGTGCTGGTTTTTCTAAGTCGACTACCTCTCCTCGTCCAAGCAGAGCCGGTACCAGAATTGGAAGCGCGTGTTTTATATTCTTTGATCATTTTTCAGAATTATACTGCAATCACATTTAAAATACAGAGCTGGGGTGGATTCAGTGGCTGGGATGGGAGAGGCCTGGGGATTTTTTTTTGGGGGGGGTTAGGCAGATGGGATGAGGAGAGGGTTGGCGGGGGGGTGGAGGAGGGATATGGGGAAGGCTCACCTCACAGATTGAGTGACAAGCACTATAAATTTAACAGTTACTATTATTCTTTTTAAGAACTTTTGGCAAGAGAAAGTAAAGAGTGATCCATGCTTTAATGCGAGAAAATGCTCAAATGATCAGATGTAACGAAAATCAGCAGGTAGTTTCTGTGTTATTGCAGTTTCAAAACTGCTGCAAGCCGATGGGAAAATTGATTCGTTTTCAATTCGTCTGAAATGTCAGACCGCCATCGCTGGCTGTAATACACTCCTGTGCCACCAGGGTTCACTGTGGGATCAGTCTGCAGAGGGCGCACAGGCTCCTGCAGACTCCCCCCGGACACAGATCCCCCTCTCAGTGTAAAGTGCTTCACCGTCTCAGCCACATTTGGAATGAACGCTAAAAAACTTTATTGTCCATAAGACCCGATGACAAACATTCTGATGTAATAGGTGACTGCTGACGCCTCTGTTTGTTAATAATAAGAAAAAATAAAAACAAAAACATGAAAAAAAAGAGACCAATGTGAGAACAATATTGCACATAATCATACAAAACTCTAAGACTTTGCCCACAGTGATAGAACAGTGTACAACAAAAGACAACACTAGTAGGTTATAGTGTCTCTGACATTAGTGAGATATTTACAGAGGTGAAATGACCCTCTCTGAGGCCCACTCATTCGCAAACTCAAAGTCTCCTATTACGTTACATAAGACTACTTGAGCAAGATTGAAATATAACAAGTAACAATATAGTGAACTCATACTTTTTCTTATTTTTTGCAGAAGACTTGTTTTCAAGGTGTAGCCCGCCGAGCGGCCGTCCCCATCTGCGATTCAGTGAGGACGTTTTCACCGCCGCCTTTCATCGCCCCCGCTCTGCACCTTGAACATGTAAGTCATCACTATAAGAAACCACTAAAACAAATATTGCCACGTAGTACCATGCAAACAGCAATTATAAAACATTTATAATTCAATAAATAAATTCATTTCCAATAAACTTCTCCAGATATCTTCTCTTTTTTGAATAAATTTTTAAAAGGCTCAGTTGATGCAGGCAATGTTTGTGGAGACAATCCCAAAATAGCCGTGTTCTTCAAAAAACTGATGTGAACTCTCGACGACCCCACTTTTTTTTTTTTTTTGTCGGAGATACGAAAGAAAATCTTCAACCCTTGGCACCCTAAAGTCTTTGAAAGCGAGAAGTGGCTGCTTTTGGAGAGTTATAGGTAGACGTGTTAGAAAAATTGACATTTAGTAGAGAAACGATAATCTTATCTAAAAGTGAATTTGGAGTAAAATCGAAAAGAATCATCTGGAATCTTAAAATTGCCTTGCTTTAATTAGAAGTTTATAATTAAGTGTTTTTTCTTTTCTTAATAAAAGGGTGGAGGATTCGTCCTCAGGGATAATATTGCATCAAGATATTCAGTCGTTGTTTTTGAATAAAACAGAAAGCTAACCCTGTTTGAGATCACAGGCCAAATGTTTTTTTTTTTTTGACAACCACCACCGCTGATATGTATGTCTTTACCCTTTTCCACTCGATCTTTAATGTTGCTTTAGTCATCTCTATTTACAGTACAAATAAATCTATTGATACTAGCAGCATTCACAACATATGATCAGACATTCAAGCAACACTAAAAACATTGAATATGCTTTGTAAATAGTTCTAGAAACTAGTTTGTTTTGCTTCCCTATATAGTATATACTGTATGTATATATTTATATATACGCATTTATTTATATTCATATTTCTACTACAAGTGCAAATGACCAAAAACAGTTTCCTCAAGAAAAGAAATCAAAGTAAAGTGACAGCTGTCCTTGGTCAGAGTGAGATGATTCTGAGTATCTTTTTTTTTTTAAAGACTTACGAAATCTACATATACAAAATATATGTGTAAAAAAATAAATAACATGATCACATGAGTCCGGATTTCCAACGATTGCACATTCCTTCCAAAATGCACTTTTTTTTTAAAACCTAAATATGATTTTGCTCACAAGTCATTCAGTCAGGGAGGTGTGTGGCTCAAATCTTAACCGATCTAGATGATATAAAATCTGACTGAAGAGTCTACTGCATAGAGTTCAGTCTGGTGGAGAAAGTGAGTTTTCCCAGCTACAGACGCCTTTCTCCTCTCCCTCCGAATATCACCGATAAATAATCAATCACTGCGTGTTCAGAACTCTCCGTCTGAACGTCTAATCTTGCATCATCTGCAGGGTGAACAGTGTCCTCGCCGTCGACACCTCGGCTCTCTTCGCTCTCTTTAAAGTCAAGCCGTAGAATTTTTTGTTCACCATTTCTCTTGGAAAAATATTTTTGTTTATGGCACATTAAATGTATGAAATCAGGCAAAAAAAAAACAAAAACAGCACTATATCTTCGAGTGACGACCGAAAAATGACATAAAACTATTTCGTCAATATGTGTAACATCTGTCTATAAACATAAATACATATTTGTTCTCTAGATGAAAAAATAACATTTAGTTGTCTGTATTTTATTTCATTTTTTTAATATCCTCAGTCGTTTAATGAACTTGTTGCACAGTGGCGGACAGTGCAGGTGCAGTGCTTGTCGAGGTTACGATGACAGTTACCATAGTGACAGGAGCCTATGCCATCCGTCCAATAAATAAATAAATAAATAGGTAAGTAAATAAATAAATACATTTGTTAAAAACAGCGTTTTTGAGCTGTCCCTCTGAGCGAAGGAGGCGGTTTTTCTCTCCACTAGAAGCTTCTTAGTATGTCACAAAAATACTACACTCATACTGAACAACGCGTCAGAGCTTGTACATTATTTACAGTGATCCACACGAGGGTCGAGGGGGTGCTGGCAACGATTATCTCCTCAGGGTGTGTGTGTGTGTGTGTGTGTGTGTGTTGGGTGGGGGTTCGTACTGTCTCCCCATTCTGCTGTCACACCAGCCTTCAGCTAGGAAACGCACTATTCACAGTTTAATTACGTGTCAATCTCTACAGACTAAGCTAGCCTTGTTGAATACTCTTTTTTTTTTGGCACTAACAGTGGCCCCGGGGATAAACAGCCACTAAGAAGGGGGGATGAGTAGAAAGACAACACGTGGAGTAAAAACACGCACACTTATAAGGATGCCATGCTAAGGAAGTGATCAGGTTTAAAGATCAGACTGCAGGTTTCATCCACGGGCCTTTTTTCAGTCGTCTCCGAACATCGATGTGAATTTTCACAGTTCATACGTCTTCCAGCTGGTGGTCCTGACCGTGGGTAGCAGTGTCTTTTTCAAAGTTAAAATCACACAAAGACGAAACGGGCTGGAGCGCTGTGGGAGGTGTCCGATCACGACGGAGGGAACTAAACAGACAAATCCAACATTGAGCTCATTTCAGCCGGCTCTCCATCTTCTCTTCGAGCAGAAGCCGCTGCTATGCCACACTTGTATTTGAAAAATAATTTAAATTAAAAAAAAAAGAAGAAAAAAAAAACCTGCAGATTTCAACAAAGACAGACACGTACATGCATGTGCGCTCACACCTCAGCTAACAACCCACCACCTACACCACCGCCCACTCTTCGTCCTCCTCCTGACTCAAAGCGAGTTACTACAGCAGATTACAGACTACTGAAGGGAAAAGAAAAGCCTCTTTGAGATCAAATCTAGAGAGCATCTAAATAAGTCTAAAGCCTACGAGAGTTATAGTAGCTGACTGGACTAGTATGAAGGGTTCGGCAGCTGAGGGAGAGGTGCTGAAGCTGAGCTGGGCTATCGGTTGGGTGTGAGAGGACTATCGTACAGAAAGAAACGGTAAGAGCGACGTGACGGTGGTGATGATGATGATGGTGATGAAGCAGCGCTGATGGGAGGGTGAGAGTACAGGTGACACAGGAGCAGGGCTGAGAGAGGGGTGAGGGAGGGGGAGAAGAGGGGGGAGGGGGGGCTGCTTTTTCAGGAGTAGATGGTGATGACCTCGCGGCCGCCCCCGCGGACCAGGAGGACCCGGTTGAGACCCTCAGTGAGGACCTCCAGGAACTCCATGTCTGAGAGAGAAGAGTCAAGGAAACTAAGAGACAGAGGTTTTATTCCTGCTGACATGTGAAGTTTTTATGTGGAGTATTTGTGTATTTGTACTTCCTCCAGTTACCCTTATAATGGTACAGCTAGGGCTGGGCGAGAAAATGATAAAATTAATTTCCCTCAATATCGACATGAAACATGTTTAATATCCTTTTCTACAGTCGTCATTCTGCCATGTTTTTGGTCGACTATACGAATAGCCAATGAAAAAGGGAGTTGCTCCAGGTCTGCTTCATGAAGACCTCACAGATGCAGGAGATTATTGTACTGCAAAAGACATGCGACGAATATACACTGATAAATTTCATTTGTCATATCGTGATATATTTTTTTCCCATACCGCTCAGCCCTAGATACAGCCTCCCATGACAGTGGGAGTTGTGACGTGACCAGTTTGGGATTTGTCACTCCACTGGTCAGTCTGGTTCACGTGTTTTTAATGTTTGTCCTTTTTTTCCTGTATTTCCTGAGTCACTGTCTGTCAAGTGGGATTACAGATGAAAATGATCTTTTCCTTTTTCTTTATATAACAGATCGACGTCATCGCTCAGTATCTCTGTTGGTCAGATGAAGTAAAGGTTTATTTACCTCACAGTTCACAGTAACGGTTTACAACAGCAGCCTGCAAGACATTTCAAAACGAGGAGATGACTGCAGTTGATAACAGGGATAATAATGATTGGCAATACCGTTTTTAAACAGCAGAGAGCACTATCTACCTCTGACATCTCTGTGGTGTGTATTTAAATGGAGGCGTATAGACATAGATGCAGTAGATGTTGATTCTGCACCTGCCTGTACTTCCTTAGCAAAGATGATTCATGGGCAAAGATTTCTATGATAATCATGTAGACAGTCTCCCTGACTTCATTAACTCTCATCACTGTTTTGTGCCCTTTCAAAATAAAAGCACATTTATTCTTGAATCAGGAAATACAGTAACTTTAGTTTAAGGCAGTGAAACGTCAAAATAAAAGCATCAGAATTAGAAGTTTTCATCCCTTCTGTAGAGCTATAAGTTCCTTTATTGTGAAAGGGTGTTGGTTGAACTGAGTGGTGAAATTGTGCCCCATGTATAAATGACTCTATCCTCTGTCTTGTCCTCTCAATGAAACCCTTAAATATCGATATAAATAAGAAGATCAAACTGTTTGGAGGATCCAGAACCCTGAATCATGTGGTATCATGAGTTAGCGTGTCGTTACACCCCGTTCTACAGACATGAATCACAGACCTCTCTCTGGTCTACCTACACCACTCCTGCCCGGATGAAGGATACAGTTCTCGTCACCTGTCCGGTTCTTGGGTGGGCCGGGCATGTTGAGGAGGACTAGCTTGGCCTCTGAGGATTTCTTGACGATAACTTCATTCAGCCGGAGCGCTGTGTGCATACGTCGCACGTTGAACTGGTTCCTGAGGGAGGAGAGACGGAGGGGGAGTGAGGTCAGACTGTTTCGACGTCAACTTCGTCACGATTGGACGCCGATATTTTGATCGTAAGGTTGTCGGGGTGACGGATGCGCATTCATACACAGATATTTCACCTGCTCATGAGGCCGTGTTAATCATTATGAGATATGAATGGATTGGATGAGATTTAGATGGACTTCAATACTTACAGGTTCTCCCACTCGCTGCAGCATGGCAAGGAGAGAAATACATCATCATCAGTACTAAGCTAGATAATTTCAGAGACGCTTAATCCAAGATCTGCTTAAAAACCTCCGAACAGACTTTGTGACAGAGCTCTTTGCTGCTACGTTGGAGAGACAGACACACAAAGGTGATTCGCCTTTACAAAAGGTCACAGGTTCATCGAGCGTGTCAGAGCACTCACGGCTTCATGTTGAAGATGTCTTTGATTCCCTCTGGTGTGGCTGCGCCAGGCGGCTTGGCCGGCTCGCCGTCACACTTCTCGGTCCATGTCATCTGGACCTGCTCCCCGGGGCTCTGAGCCCCTTCTGGGGTCAGCGGGGTGGCCGGAGTGGCGGGGCTAGCTGGGTTGGTGTTGTCGTGGATGAGCTGGACCTGATCAGGGGGGGAGACAGGGGAAGAGGCCGACTTTGACTATGAGACGAGAGGAAGAGAGGACGGATGTGGATTTACATGTACATTACATGGAGAGAGTCACAGTTGAGGTGGAAACGTTGGAATGCAGGTAAAGTAACAGAGAGCCACAGTGTTTGAGAGAGGGAGAGGGAAGAGAAGTCTGAGTAAAGAGACGTTGGGGGTTTCCTCTGAAAATATACGTATATGTGGTTAATCTGAGGCTGTTCAGGTACAGAAATGTTCATCTGGACTAACCATGCAGGTAGGAAACAAAATTACCCCAAATTTCCACCACATGCAGAACGTAGGTGATCATATTCTGAATCCCCAAAAAGAGGACATGACTACAAGGAGGCGGAGTCACTGAGTCACATGTAGTTAATTTTGATTTTAACGGGTCAGGTTGAATGTTTTTGAGGCGCTTCTAACTCAGTAAGTCCACGTGACACAAACTCAAAACTTCCGTATAAAACCCCGGACATTTGAAGGATTTCATAAACTCCGGGTAAAAGAGGACATATGGTCACCCTAGCAGAGGGTGGTGATTTTCCTGTCCGCCAGTTCCTAAGGCATGCGTTTGTGAGGCAAATTTCGTAACGAATTTCGGACAGTGGGAATCATGAAGACTCAGAAGAACCTGCAAATTTACACCTAATCGAGTTGTTTCTATAAAGACAGCCACATAATCATATAAGCAGAAGATCGCGTCCTTCCAGAGGAGGAAATCCACTCTGTCCAGACCAGAAGATCAGACACTTTTGTGGAGATTGGGAATTAACCACGAGTAAGAGCAATATTGATCTTTATCTACGAAACAAACCAGGTTTACGTGGTGTGAAAAAAAAGGATTAGGGGCCACAAGAAGAGAAAAAAAATTACAGGAGGGAGATTTTTTTAAATTTCCATTTCGAAGTTAAAGTCGTAATTTAAAATAGTCGCAATTTTGACTTTGTTCATGTCGACTAGAATCTCAAAATTTTAATTTTTCAAATGTCGAGATTTTGACATTATTCACGACATTTTGTAATCTTGAAATTTCGACTTAAATCTCAAACTCTCCTTCCTGTGATATTTTTTTTCTCTTCATGAGGCCCTAATCCTCTTTCGTGGAAATACGATCCGCCTGAAACACATAGTTTTATTTTGAAAAGAAGCCGGATGTTTTATTTTGTTCCTTTCCAGCATGAATTAATCTGTGCTAA